GCAGGGCAGGTCGTGCAGCTCTGCAGAAAGGCGACTCGGCGACCGGGCGGCTCGGGTGCACAGCGGCTCGGTTCCCGGGCTGCTCGGCGGTTGGGCGGCTCGGGTGCAGGGCGGCTCGGCTCCCGGGCGGCTCGGCGGCAGGGCGGCTCGGGGGCAGGGCGGCTCGGCTCCCGGGGGGGGCTCGGCGACAGGGCGGCTCGGCTGCTGTAGGTGGGGCGGCAGGGCCGCGTGAAAGAACCGGGGCGGGGCCGCGTCAGAGCCGGCGGCAGGGCCGCGTGAGAGCAGGGGCGGGGCCGCTTCAGAGCTGGCGGCAGGGCCGCAAGAGAGCCGGCGGCGGGGCCGCCGGAGAGCCGAGGCAGGGGCCGCGTCAGGGCCAGCGGCGGGGCCGTAAGAGAGCCGGGGCGGGTTCGCAAGAGAGCCGGTGTCGGGGCCGCAAGAGAGCCGGCAGCGGGGCCGCGTGAGAGCCGGGGCGGGGCCGCGTCAGGGCCGGCGGCGAGGCCGCGAGAGAGCCGAGGCGGGGCCGCGATCAGGAGGCGGCGGCGGGGCCGCGTCAGAGCCGGCGGCGGGGCCTCGTCGAGGCGGGCGGCGGGGCCGCGTTGGAGCCGGCGGCGAGGCCGGCTAAGAGCCGGCAGCGGGGCCGCGTCAGGGCCAGCGGCGGGCCGCGATCAGCGGGCGGCGGGGCCGCGTCAGAGCCGGCGGCGGGGCCGCGTCAGAGCGGGCGGCGGGGCCGCGATCAGCGGGCGGCGGGGCCGCGTCTGAGGAGGCGGCGGAGCCGCTGCAGAGGAGGCGGCGGGGCCGCGTCAAGCAGGGGTGGCGGGGCCGCGTCAGAGGGACAGCGGGGCCGCGAGAGTAAGGCGACCCGAAGGGTCGCGAAAAAAATTGCGCGCCTCGGGGCGCGCTTCGGTGGGCCCTAAAAAAAACGGTCCTTAGGAAGGACCCGCTCTATACCATGTGAAAGATAAGAAAACAAGAATGAAATGACAAAGGAAAGATAAGGTACAAATACAACCCTAGAAACCCTGTACCCCATATGTGCTACCCCACTATAGCCTACAGCAACTATGTCATATAAATCTGACAGCATGTAGTAAGGCTCGTCGGTCCGGACCGATGGAGAATCGGCCGGTATCGGTCTCGAGTTCTACGCCCAGGAATCGGAGACGCTGCGATGGTGACAGTTGTGATTTCTTCGCGTTTATCACAAGGCCTGCCTCTTTAAGATCCAATATCACCCGCTGGCAAGTTGCTTGCGCGTCCTCTTTCAACTGGCAGAGAAATAAGATGTCGTCCACGTAAGGTACGACTCGGATGCCTTAATCTCGCCAACGCCGAGCTAGTTGCTTGATGAGCTGCGTGAAAACGAATGGAGCTGTCGCGAGGCCAAATGGTAGTGAACGGAATGCGTATGTGCGCTTATCAAATTCAAAGCCAAGGAACTTCCAGCACGATGGGTGGATGTCGATGTGGTGGTAACCAGATTTGAGGTCAATGGAGAACATCCAATCCCCAACGCGCGCAAGGTCGGCGACGCGGCTGAGCCCTTCGTACTTGAACTTGGGGATGATCAAGTTGGCGTTGACTTTCCTCAGATCAAGAATGAGCCTGCATTTGTCTTTTTGCTCGACCACGTTGAGTGGACTTATGCATGTAAGCTCCGTTGCGGCCATCGGAATTGCCGCTCCCGTCTCTATGAGTTCTTGGATGGCGGTACGTGTGAACGTGGCATGCGTGTTTGCCCCGACATGATTGCGATCGTGGAAATGTTGCGGTGGGCAGTGGCTCCATCACAACCAGTAACCCTTGGCGATGACGGAGAGGACAAGGCTGCTGGGGCACCATGAGCTCCACCACGCAAATGTCGCGCGAAGACGACCGCGCATGTGTGTAATAGTTCTGTCTGTAACGGCAAATTCGTACGGATCGTCGTGGCATGCCGCCTCGCACCGTCGTGCTCTTGTACATTTGAGGCCAAGTGGTATAAGCTTTGAGTATTCCACGTTAAAGCATGCGTGTGCATGTACTTGTACGGGCAACCATTGATCGAAGGTGTGAAGAGAATGAGCAATTGAATGAAATGTCAACGAATGTGTCGGGAATGTTAACGCATGTCAACGCATGTCTCTTCTTCTCCTCGTTTCCCCTTTGTTTTTTTTTTTTTTTTCTTGCCCCGTCGTCCACTTGGTAGGACATGGTTGTGCCTGCCCTTAGTGCGTAGGGGCTGATGCCTAGGGCCATGGACACCGTTGTCCATTGTGCTTTCTCTCATTCTCTCTTATCTCTCTCTCCCTCTCTCTCTCCCTCTCTCTCTCTCTCTCTCTCTCTCTCTCTCTCTCTCTCTCTCTCTCTCTCTCTCTCTCTTCTCTCTCTCTCTCTCTTTCTCTCTCTCTCTCTCTCTCTCTCTCTCTCTCTCTCTCTCTCTCTCTCTCTCTCTCTCTCTCTCTCTCTCTCTCTCTCTCTCTCTCTCTCTCTCTCTCTCTCTCTCTCTCTCTCTCTCTCTCTCTCTCTCTCTCTCTCTCTCTCTCTCTCTCTCTCTCTCTCCTCTCTCTCTCTCTCTCTCTCTCCCTCTCTCGCTCTCTCTCTCTCTCTCTCTCTCTCTCTCTCTCTCTCTCTCTCTCTCTCTCTCTCTCTCTCTGCTCCTCCTCTTGATTTTCATAGTCTCTTTGCCAAAACCATAGGCCTTTAGGAAGGTAGTTTTTATTAAATCAACCAACACACATAGCAATGCTTTCCTAGCATGCCACCAAGTGGCCAACATATGGGACCGAGGGGTTGTTGTTCCCCTTCCCTATCCTAGGCCCAAGCATATCCCACCCTTTACTAGGGCTGGCCTCTTGCCATCGCAAACCCCTAGGGTTGCCCACGGTTTTCGCACTCAAGAGTGCACCGTGCCTAGCGCCCAAGCGCCTAGTCTCATGGCCCGCTCCTACACCACCGGAGCGGGTCCCTGGCCTCCATGCCCGTTCCGAGGGCAGGCACTTGCCACGTGGCCCGGCTGGCCGCAGCGGAAGCATGAGCCCCGGAACCCACGGCAATTGGCCGTGGGCGGGGGGCCTCGCTTGGGTAAGAACGGCATCGGCCCGTTGTTTCCGCCGCGGTTGACACGAGCGTATCCGCTTGCCGCACGGTCCATCGCCGCCATGTCCGCGACCGCCTGCTTGAAGGGTCGAGAAGTCAGCAGGCTCTTCTGCTGGTACAGCTTAAAGCGCTTCGCCGTGCGAAAGTCGGAGGCGTCCTCCACTTGAAGCACCTCGAAACGCCCCGCGATGAGGTTGAGAGCGTGTGAGATGAGTTCGAGTCCGCCCGCCGGATCACCGCGCTGCGCCTTGTATTCGGCGTGCAGCAGGTACGCCCGCAGGTCCTCCAGTAGCTCCGCTTGCTCTCGCACGGAGTCGTTGACGAAGGTTGCCGCCGAGAAGGTAAGATTAGAAGAAGGGAGGGGGGGAAGGTTTTCCGTGCCAATAAAATTAACATTGTTGACTGGAGCCTCACTGGCTTCATCTTCAGAGTCGTCGGTGTCGTTGTCGACCGCTGGAGCAGGGGGAGCGGCAGTCGCTGCGTCGTTGTCATGCCGGTTCGTCCGTGCTCCCCGTGTGCCTTTCTCCTTTTTTGCAGTTTCTTTTTTAGCCGACGCAGATGCGGCGGGTAGTGCAGTTTCCGCGGCTGTAACGCTGACGGGTTGCTGCTGTAGAAGGGACAGCAGCGCGTTGACCTGGTCCGGGGTCAACGCCTGCGTCAGCGCAGGGGCGGCGGTCGCGTCAGACGAGGAGACTGCAGTCCGCCTCCTCTGACGCTGACGCGACGGTCCAGCAGCGGGTGCTGGCGTGTGCTCGGCGTCAGTCGCGTGTGCCGCGCCAGTCCCCGTCGCCACTTGCGCCACAGGTGCCACTGGCGCCACAGGCGCCACTGGCGCCACAGGGACCGAAGGGTGCTGCTGGTTTTCGGCGTTTTTGTGGACCTCGAGCCCGCCCAGCAGCACGTCCACTGCAGTCGGGGCGGAAGGTCCGTCTTCTGCCCGACGCTTGTTACGGCGTTCGCCCGCAGAATCGCGGGCGTTACGGTCGGAGTCGGAAGCGGGGGTTGACGAGTTCCCGTTGTTAAGTGTCGGCGTAGGTGCCATCGTTGAGCGATTGAAGTTGAAAATGTCGCTGAGTAAAGTAGAGGGTGACTCGCCTCTAGGAAGCGATTTAATCCTAGCCAGCTTGGAGGGAAAGACTACTCGAGCGGAAAATGTTGAGTGAGCCGTTTGAAAATTGAGAAACGTGGGTGGAGGGAAATGAGCTCCAACCCACGGTTTTTGTAGTTGGAGAAGGGCGTTTAGCGCGCTTCGACGATGCCAATTGTGCAGTACAAGCAGCTTCGCTTTCACAATACACAATTTTAAAAAACACTACATGTGTGTTTAAAAATTATAATGTTGCGAAACACTCTCTTCAGTTCAGTGCCAGTTGCTTTGTTCTTTCTAGAATCTTGCGATTTTGTGTTGTTCAGGTTCATTTATTGGTTTATGGTTCGTTTCTAGTGCTGCGCAAGCATACTTCTTGTCAATGATTGAACAAGGATTGCATACCGGTATTAATAACGCGAAGAAAACAGTACTTTCCAAGTCAATACTATGTTGAAGAATGTAGGACAGATTGTATGAATGCCGTTACTTTGTTAGAGCTGTACCTCAGTGTTACACGAGAAACAAAGCCCGTTGATAAGGAAGAGCGAAGCATGGGATAATATCTAGGCGCTTTTCTCCAGCATGGGCTGGCGGCTGAATCCATGGCACCCATTCATTTACCGCCTAGTTACTCACATCTCAGGTGCTTCACCTACGCAGGAGAAGCTTTGGCCAAAGTGAGATTTTCCCTTAGTTTAGATTATGGGAGATCCGGTTTGAATTTTCGTTCATAGGCTCGCGAAAGGCTTTGTAATTCGTCATGATGGACAGCCGGTCCGCAGCTCGTCGCTCGTCAGAAGCGAAATCGGGATCGGATTCGGAAGGAGCAAACGACATGCGAGACGAGGAACGCGGGTGGAGCCCGTCGGAGGGAAGCGAGGGGTCGAGCGACGGCAGCAGAGGCGCGGAGGAGGCGCAGCGCGGAAATAACGCGCGGAGAGCGGCGGCGGAGGCTGTAGCAGAGGCGGAAGAAGATTCAGGCGTGCGGGAAGTGGAGGAAGAGGAACTAGGGGATGAGGCGGAGGCGGAGGAGGGGGAGGAGGGGGAGGAGGAAGGGGAGGAGGGGGACGACGATGCGGACGAGCCTCCTGAGGAGTCTTTTCAGCCTTTTCAGTGGCCCGATTCCCCTCCCCCCGCGGCTCTTCCGCTCCCCGAGATGTCCCCCGCGCCCTTGGAACGCGCGCGAGTCACGACCCCATCTGACGACGACGAGGATGATGATGACGTGGCGGATGACGACGATGACGTGGACGAAGATCGCCGCATGGGGCCGCGGCTGCCACGTCGTCCAGCGAGAGCCGCAGGATCCACCGCGCGGGGGACGGCTGTAGCGCCGGAGATGACTGTAGCGGATCTGGAGTTCCCAGGGTCGCTGCTGGGGACGATCATGGACGGGTTGGGCAAGTGGCCTTGGACGGTTTGGCCTAACCACATGCGCTCCTGCCTCGCTGCCGCTGCTCGCATACTCCACGCTGCTTCTCCCGCTGCTGATGCTGGTTCTGGTGCTGCTGCTTCTGCTGGTGCGGCTGGTGCTGCACCTGTCGCAGCAGACCCGGACGAGTCAGGTCCTATAGTGAGTCCCGCGGTGCGAGCAGAGGCGCAGCGGCTGATGCGACGCGCTGTGCTGAAGCGCAAGCTGGCGACGCTCTTCAGGGAGGCCGCGCCTAGCCTGTTTGAGAAGTGCCTGGACGACCGCGCGATCTGGAAGTGGGGACGTGACGTGCATGGGAATATCTTCGAGGCGTTTGTTTCCCTTATGGATGTGATTGTACTGAAGCTGCTTGAGTTGATTATAGTGAGGGAGGCTCTGGCGGATGCAGCGGCTGCTGCGGCTGCTGCGGCTGGAGAAGGAGTGGTGGGTGGAGGGGAGGGGGACGGGCAGGGGGAGAGAGTGAGGGAGAGGAAGGAGGAGGTTGAGGAGGCAGAGAGGAGGAGTGTGGAGGTAGAAGAGGAGATAGCAGCGCTTCTAACAGCCATGGCGCAGGGATGGGACAGCACATGTCAGTTCCACTGCAAACACAAGAACGAGCAGCTGCCACGTGTTGCGCCGCGATTGGACCGCCCGTGCTTCTATGCCATCTCCCTGCCCCTAGACCCCGCCCCAATCGGTCCCTCCCTCCCCGGACTCCCTTCCCCCGGATCCCAGGCGGCTGGGGGGAGGAGAGGCGGGGGGGAAAGGGGGGAAGAAGGGGAGGGCGGAAGCGTGGGCTCGCACCAGTGGCTGGTGCGGTTTCTGAACTACTTTGGGCAGACGGCGTATGGGAATGGGTATGGACGCGTGGTGCAGGTGCTTCTGAGGCTCATGTCGGGGTTTGACAGGCAGATCGAAGCACATGCTGCTAGGTTAGGAACAATCAGACAAGAGCACGAACGGCAGCAACGGCACAAGTGGCAGGAGCAGCAGGGACGGCAGGAGGGTTTCGTGGGCAGGAAGGCGGCATTACCACCCTCATCGCCGTCCCCACCTCTCCCCCGCATCCCCTGGCCACGCATGCCTCTGGTGGCTGTAGAGGCACTGCTGCGCCCCCTGGCAACGGCAGCAGAGTTCCTCACCCCTCACGTCGGCAACATGCTGCTGCAGGTAGGTACCTTTTGAGTCCACTCTAAAGTCCCTCCCCTTCTTCCCCGTCTCTCCAACACGCCCCCCTGCCGCAGCGCATGCCTTTGGTGGTGGTAGAGGTGCTGCTGCGACCCCTGGCAACAGCAGCAGCGTTCCCCACTCCTCACGTCGGCAACATGCCTGGTGGTGGTGGTGGTGGTGGTGGTGGTGGTGGTGGTGGTGGTGGTGGTGGTGGTGGTGGTGCTGGTGCTGGTGGTGGGGGTCTCATCATGCCTCATCCCTGTGATGCACGCCTTGATCTTTTTGGCATTTGATATATGTGTCGCCCTGTTTGCTGCTAGCCTGTCACCCTGGCAGCAGCAGCAGCCGAGTTCCCCACTCCTCACGATGGCAACATGCTGCTGCTGGTGGGTGGGGATTGGGGCTCACTTCGTGGCTGTCGTCGAGCCTAGCTTGTGACGTCAGCCTTTGTGCTTGATTTGGTGTTATGTTGCTTTCATCTTGTGCCTTCATCTAGTCTGTCTACTTGTGCTGGTTTGCAAGTTTGCTGCGTTCCCTGCTAACGGCAGCAGAGTTTCTCACTCCACACGTCAGCAACATGCTGCTGCTTGTTGGGGTTGGCGCGTTTTGCCCTTTCAACTTCTCTCACTGAATGCACTTCTTAGATACAATTGCTCTTTCCTTGGTTGCACGCATTGCATTCATCTCGCTCCCCTCTCTCCTCTCCACCCCCCTCTTTGTATTCCGGAGCTTCCAGTCTTGAAGATTCCCCTTCCGCTCCTTCACTAACCTCCTCCTTCTGTCTGTTCAACCACGAAGTCTCACCTTCTCTCACCACCGCTCGCTGAAACATGTGGTCACCCTCTCTAACCTCCGCTGTCTGAAACACGTGGTCACTCTTCTTCCATACTATCCCTCTCTCTGCGTCTCATCTCACTGGCTCTCTTAAACGTGCAGAGCAGAGCCGTCCTGCCAGTTAGACAAGAAGTATTAATTCTTACCTGCATTCTTACCTGCATTCTTACCTGCATACTTCTTGTTTCTCCCTCTCTCGGCACTCTCCTCGCTCTCTCCCTCTCTCCCCCCCCTCCATCGGCCGTGCAGGGCCGTCCTGCTGGCCATAACCGGCAGCGCTGCATCAGCAGAAATCACATGGATTCACTCAACGAGGGGCCCAGGGACGGCTCCTTCCAGTGCCTCTCGCTCACCCTGTTCCCCCTGCCCCCTCCTCCCTCTCTCCCTCACCCTCTCTCCCTCACCCTCTCTCCCTCACCCTCTCTCCCTCACCCTCTCTCCCTCAAGCAGTCCTCTCTCCCTCTCTCTCTCTCCCCCTCCCTCCCTTCCCCACCCCACCCACCAGCCCTGCAAGGAATTGCTGCTGGCCATAACGCGGTGCATCGGCTACCACATGGAATCTCTCAACGAGGGCCCCCGGGACGGCTCCTTCCAGTGCCTCTCACTCACTCTGCGCCATGTTCGCGCGCTGCTCGCCCTGCCCTCCTCTGCTAGTAGCGTTCGCGACATTCTCTTTGACATTAGTCTTGCGGAGGCAGAGGAGGAAGAAGAGGAAGAAGAGGAAGAAGAGGAGGAGGAGGATGAGGAGGATGCTGATGTTGATGATGTGGAGGTGGCAGCAGAGGCAGTAGTGGGGACGGTGCAGAGGCTCATGGTGAAGCGCATGCTGGGAGCGCCATCGTTCAGCAAGCAGTTATCGGCGGCCAGGGAGATCAACCGCATGCTCGAAAGCTCAGCTGCTCTGAAGATGAGGTGAGTGAGTGGTCTTGTGGCGTTCCGGGTGCAGATGATATGAGGTGAGCTGGGGGTGAGGTGAGGTGGTTGATTATGAGTGGGGTAGTGGGGGTGGTGCAGAGGCGCATGGTGCTGCAGCGCATGCTGGGAGTGCCATCGTTCAGCAAGCAGCTGTCAACAGCTGTCGGCTGTTGATGGGTGTGTGTATGGGGCAGCATGGGAGAGCATGGTGAAGCGCATGCTGGGAGTGCTTTCATTCAGCAAGCAGCTGTCAGCCACCAGAGAAATCAACCACATGCTCGAGATTCTGTTGTCTTGTTTATATATGTATATATATGCATATATATTTATATATATATATATATATTTGTGGTGACGTGCCATGAGCCATGTGTATGTCATGTGGCTTCTGATACAAGGAAGAGTTTTGAGTAAACTCAGACATGCAAGTTCTTGTTTTGTTCACTGATGCGCCATGTGTGTGTGATTTCAGGGACAAGGGAGCAGCCTTGAGATCAACAATCAATTGGCTGGAGGCCAATAAGATTCTGCCACTTGTCCTGCGCTCCAACCTGCACCACAAGCAATACGTGGACCAAGTACGTCCTCTTGTGCGCCCGCCTTGTTTTTGTTGTTGTTGTTGTTTTTTTTTGTTTTGTTTTTTTTGTTTTTTTTTTAAAAACATCTAACTAATATGGTGGAATTTCCTCCCTCCCTGTTTCGCACCAACTATCGGTCGTGCGAATCATGAGGGCGCTGTTCAACCAGCGCTGCTCAACCAGCGCCGCTCAACCAGCGCCGCTCAACCAGCGCTGCTCAACCAGCACTGCTCAACGCCGTGTGGGCCGCGACTGAGAAGCCTCGTCTTATCTCCTTCCCTCTTCCCCTCTTCCCCTCTTCCCCTCTTCCCCCCACCCTCCTCCCGCCCAACAAAACCCCCTTCTTCCCCAGGTCGTGCGAATCATGCGAGCGCTGCTCAACCAGCATCGCCGTGTGGGCTGCCACTGAGAAGCCTCGTCTTATTCCTCCCCCCTTGCCCCCATTCTCCCCCAGGTGGTAAAGATCATGAGGGCGCTGCTCAACCAGCGTCGCCTGCTGGGGAAGCACCTGGACGCCGTGTGGGCTGCCACTGAGAAGCCTCGTCTTATTCCTTCCCGCCGTTCCCCCATTCTCCCCCAGGTGGTAAAGATCGTGAGGGCGCTGCTCAACCAGCGTCGCCTGCTGGGGAAGCACCTGGACGCCGTGTGGGCTGCCACTGAGAAGCCTCGTCTTATTCCTCCCTCCTTTCCCCCATTCTCCCCCAGGTGGTAAAGATCATGAGGGCGCTGCTCAACCAGCGCCGCCTGCTGGGGAAGCACCTGGATGCCGTGTGGGCCGCCACTGAGAAGCCCGACCAGTTTGAAGCGGTGAGGCATGGTGTGAAGCGGTGAGGTGTGGTTTGAGTGCGATGAGTGAGATGTATGGGTTGGGCTTCTGTTTTTTTAGGCGCCTTAGCGATTTTCGCGAGGTGGGGAAACATCTGGACAGGGTGGGATGAGGCAGCTGAAAAAGCTCAGGTGACCCGAGGGGAGGCCGTGCAGGCGAGCCAGGGAGAAGCAGTCGAGAATGTCCAGGTAGTGAGGAGGCATTCATAGAGCATCATGGCGTGGCGAAGCTAAGCTTCCCCTCATTCCTTCCTTCCTCTCCCTGGCAGGTGAAGAACAAGCTGCCATTTGACCTGCTGGCGGAGCTAGCCTGGTCCTTCCCCTATGATCACCTCGACTCTCTTTCCTCCCCTCCTCATGCTCCCCCCCTCGACTTCCCCCTTATTCCTTCCTTCCTCTCGCTGTGCAGGTGAAGAACAACATTTTCGATCTGCTGGCGGAGCTGGCCTGGTCCTTCTCAGACGAGCAGCTCGACTCGCTCTTCTCACGCCTGCAGCACATCCAGGTGACCGCTGCTCTCGGATGATATGCATGAAACATCACACAGACAGTGAGGCATGATTACCTCGACTCGCTCTTCTCACGCCTGCAGCACATCCAGGTGACCGCTGCTCTCGGATGACATGCATGAAACATCACACAGACAGTGAGGCATGATTACCTCGACTCGCTCTTCTCACGCCTGCAACACATCCAGGTGACCGCTGCTCTCGGATGACATGCATGAAACATCACACAGACAGTGAGGCATGATTACCTCGACTCGCTCTTCTCACGCCTGCAACACATCCAGGTGACCGCTGCTGCTCTCACGCCTTCCTTCTTCATGCATTTGCATGACTTGAAAAGAAAAGGACCACTCTGCCAGTGTCCCATGGTGGCATGGCATGTGCGTAGCCTCGTAGGCTTCTCTCCAGAGCCGAGCCAAGCTTCACACATGTGAGTGGGGTGGGTGCAATTGTTTGTTATTTTAAGCCAAGGCACATGAACGAACCCACCCACTCACATGTGTGAAGCTTGTGCTGTGAATGTGTATGCAACGTGCCACCTCTCTGCCTCTGAATGTGTATGCAACGTGCCACCTCTCTGCCTCTGAATGTGTATGCAACGTGCCACCTCTCTGCCTCTGAATGTGTATGCAACGTGCCACCTCTCTGCCTCTGAATGTGTATGCAACGTGCCACCTCTCTGCCTCTGAATGTGTATGCAACGTGCCACCTCTCTGCCTCTGAATGTGTATGCAACGTGCCACCTCTCTGCCTCTGAATGTGTATGCAACGTGCCACCTCTCTGCCTCTGAATGTGTATGCAACGTGCCACCTCTCTGCCTCTGAATGTGTATGCAACGTGCCACCTCTCTGCCTCTGAATGTGTATGCAACGTGCCACCTCTCTGCCTCTGAATGTGTATGCAACGTGCCACCTCTCTGCCTCCTCCCACCCATTCCAGGGTCACATAGACAGCAAATGGCAGAAAATCACACCTTCGGAGTTGAATTTGCTTTTATGTCGACTAAAAAAACCTCCTACCCATTCCAGGGTCACGTAGACAGCGAGTGGCAGAAAATCACTCCTTCTGAGTTGAACCAAGCCGACTTCTTTCTTCCTTCCCCCCCTCTCCACCAGGGTCGCTCAGCAGCAGACATCGCAAAGCTGATGCAGCTGGTGGGAAAACCAGGCATGTGAGGAGAAGTCCTCACCTCACATTCCTATTTGAATTTCCTGAGCTGATCTTAGCCCGCTTCTTTGCTCCTTCCTCCCCGCCCCACCAGGGTCGCTCAGCGGCAGATATAGCGAAGCTGATGCAGCTGGTGAAGAAGCTCGCGCGGTCCGACACCCGTGGCGTCATGGCCTCCAGGTGATTTTTCGTGGCTTTCAGGTGATGTTTCGTTTAGGTGAAATTTGTAGGTTCTGGTGAATTCCTGTGGCTTTCGTGCCTGTCAGTTGGATTTTAAATGCAAATGGTGCAGCAATCTGCTGTACTCTCACTTTTCACAGCAGAGCTGGTGCCTAATTCTTTCATTTTCTACTTTTCTTGGAGAGATGGGACCCTCCTATTCCCTCCTTGCAGGCTGCTCCAGCCAGCTGCTCTGGACGCTCGTGTTTGACCCGCCTCACACCCACTCAGTTCCAACAGGGTCATCATCATCAGCAGCAGCATCGGCAGCAGCATCAGCATTGGTATCCACTCATTCTTCTGTCCCATCTTCCCCCCTACACTCTCCATACAGGCTGCTGCAGCTTCTCTGGACACTCGTATTCGACCCGCCTCACACCCATGCAGTCCAAACGTCAGGGTCAGCGTCAGCATCGGCAGCAGCATCAGCAGCAGCATCGGCAGCAGCACTGGCAGCAGCAGCAGATGTTGCATCAGTGAACGTGCTTGAATCGAAGGCCCTCACGGAGGTGTTGGGCCACTATGCTTCTGTTGGGTGTGCTAATAAAGAGGTGGGACCCTTTCACTATCAATTTTCTGGTTCGTGAGTAATATGTTCTTTCAGGGGTTTGTTTTTGTGTTCCATTTTTTGTCCATGAGTGCTCTCAGTATTTCTCCGTTTTCTTCTTTCCCCCCCATGATACACTTCTCAGGAGTAATGCAGTGCCTGCCTGCAGACCTTCCTTTTCCCTTCTCGAAAAAGGGAGTGCTATTTCTCTTTTCTCCACACACTCCATCCCTCCCGCTATTTCTTCCTCACTTCCCATTCACAAGAGTACATGCAGCGCTGCCTGCAGGCCATCTCGCGGGAGGAGAGTGTCATTCCTCCTATTCTCATTTAACCCCCTCCCCTCCCCGTCCCTCTCTCCTCCCCCCTCCAAAACCCCCCTTCCCCTCTCCCCACCGCGACCCCTTCTTTCTCTCTTACAGGAGTACATGCAACGCTGCCTACAAGCCATCTCGCGGGAGGAGAGTGTCATACCAGCCCTCCAGCTGCTGCGAGAGATCATCTCTCTGCACCCCAACCCCGCTCCACCTGCTGAGGTGATTCTTCAACCCCCTTGCACTCCTGCATTTCCCCTTCCTCCATGTGCGGGAGATCATCTCTCTGCACCCCAACCCCGCTCCACCTGCTGAGGTGCTGCTCTCACCGCCTTGCACTCCTCCGTTTGCCCTTCCATTCCTTTTATTCGGAAAATCATCTCTCTGCACCCCAGCTGCGCTCCACTTGCCGAGGTGCATGTGTGTTACTGTGTGTGTGTTTGTGCAGCATGCAAGTGTCCGTGTGTGCAATTTGTTTCCGTCTTGTTATGAGCATGTTAAAGTTGCTATTGCTAGTCATGTCAACCCCTCCCTACCTCACTACTGCATGCCTCTCGTCATTCCTTCGTTGCTCGTCTCGTGTGTTGCAGGAGCAGCAGATGCTGCAGGCTCAGCTGCAATCGCTGAATGCAAACCACGAGCTCGAGTACACTGTAAGCATGCATGCATTCTTGAGGGTGCAGTTCGGAAAATCATCTCTCCGCACCCCAACTGCGCTCCACCCCAACTGTAAGGATGAATAGGAATTCAAACCACGAGCTTGAGTACTTGTAAGCATGCATGCATTATTGAGGGGCCTCAAAATGGCAAACCATGAGCTCGAGTACACTGTAAGCGTTCGTGCATGCAGTCGTCATACTGCTTTAGTAAGAAATGAAGTACATTACAACACTGTACTGTAGGCATGTGTGACGTGGAATGAGTTGCATGAGCAGGTTTTTATTTTCAGTCTTATAGATAAACCAGTGCTTCATGACTCCAAGGTCTGCTTGTGCCACTCATGAATGGCACGCTAGCAATGAGAGCACAGGAAGCACACATTGTCTGCATTGAGACCTGAACCCCACGCAGTCTGAGATCCTGCTTGCCTCTCTACGCTCTTCCAGCCCTCAAACTCTTCCTTTCCCCTCTCTTCCTTTCCCCTCTCTTCCTTTCCCCTCTCTTCCTTTCCCCTCCTCTCCTTTTCCTTTATGTCCACTTCCCTTCCCACTCCCTCCTCCCCCTAGCAGGTACCGGGCAGTCTGCAGACGTACAAGGGTCTGGCCCGCTCCCTGTTCCCTTCCACATGCTCTTCCCCTGCGCTCAACTCCCCTTCCCCTTTTGTCCTTTTCTCCTTTCCTCCCTCTCCTCCCCCTTGCAGGTACTGGGCAGTCTACAGACCTACAAGGGCCTGGCCCGCTCCATGTTCGCCTCTGCACGCTCTGCCTCCCCCCACCAACCACAGCCCATCACTGCTCCAAGCAAACCTCTTCCAGTCAGCCCCGTTCCACCCAGCAGCAGCAGCCCACTACCAGTTCCAGACGCCAGCGTCTTGGCCAGCAGTGACGGCAGTCCCATGCATGGCGTGGTGGTGGCGGAAGAGGTGAGGCAGGAGTGCCGTGGCGGTGGGGTTGCGGCAGAGGAGGAGAGATCGTCGCCCGCTATGGACTGTGACGAGCCGCAAGGGCAGCAGCAGCAGGAGGAGCAGCAGAAGCACGGGCAGGAGGGGCGGCAGCAACAGCAGCAGTGCTCGCAGCAGCAGCAGCAGCAGCAGCAGCAGCAGCAGCAGCAGCAGCAGCAGCACGTGCAGCTGCAGCGGCAGTTGGAGCAGTGCACGTTGGTGGATGGCAGGCACTCCCACCGCGACAACATCACTGCCCGCCTCTCCTTCCTCCTCTGGGCGCTGCAGGTGCTTGCTTCCCCTCTTCTTTTCGTCATCCTTTCGTCGAGAACTACGGGTGATATGGACTGAGCTAGTGGAGCACCTATGCCTGCCTTCTCAACACCCTTCCTGAATCTTTTATAAACCCCTTTTTAAACCTCTCACCAACCCCCGAATCAATTTCCTCTTGAACCATTCTCAAACCCCTCCCAAATCCTTTCTAAACCCTTCTTTAACCCTTACCAACCTCCAGGCGGGCGGCATGGAGCTACAGACAGAGGGGCTGGGGTGATTTGGACGGAGTTAGTGGAACACCCAGCATGTCTTCCCAGCTCGTCAAGGACCCGTACCTGCTGCACGCCTTTCTAAACCCCTTCATAATCCGTGAAACCGTAAATCTCTACCAACCTGCAGGCTGGAGGCACGGGGCTTGTTAGTGGAACACCCAGCATGTCTTCCCAGCTCGTCAAGGACCCGTGCCTGATTTCTCAGCACACCATTCCAAACCCCTTTCTACACCCAAAACCTCTACCATCGTGCAGGCAGGCGGCATGGAGTTACAGCCAGAGGGGCTGCGCGTGATATGGACGGAGCTAGTGGAGCACCCAGCGTGCCCTGAGGACCGCCAGCTGGCGCTGACGTGGCTGTGTGATGCTGTGGAGGGGAGGGAAGGGGGGGAGTGGAGAGGAGAGGCGGGTGGGCGGATAGGGGAGGTGGGGAGTGTGGGCACAGGGGTCGGGGTGGTGGGAGGGGCCGTGAGCTCGACGGGACAGGTGGCGCTCTTGGATTGGTTGACGCAGCTGCCTCCGGAGCAGTTCTCGCCCATCGCTTGGAGGTGGGTGAGCTTTGCAGTGCCATGCATTGTGTGTAAACATTGCATTTTCTTCTACTTCTTCTTCTTTTCATTCTTTCTTTTTGCACATTACTTCTTGTTTCTGCTCCTTGTCACTGCGATGACCACCACCATGCATTACCTGCCTGCGAATGCTGCTTCTCCTCCCCCCCTTTCCCCTTCTCCACCCCATTTTTCCTTGCTTATTCAGTGGTTCTTTTTGGAGGCTTCCTGCCTGGGTCTAATGTGTCAATACCCCGACCCCTTCCCTCTGTCGCACTGACAATCACGTTCCTTCTCTATTTCTTTCCAACCGCATGATGTGCTGCCTCTCTTACCCACTCGCCCCGTACCTCTCCCTGGGCTGTACCAGGGTCCTCTTCCTCCGCATGAGTATCAGCATCACCACAGCATCAGGCCGTTTGATATGTCTCAAAAGTCACTCGGTTGCTTCCCCTTCCCTCGCTCTACCAGGCTCTTCCACCACATTTTCATCCGTGCCTCAAAACTTGTCCTATAATGCACCCCCTCCTCTCCCTCACACTCTATCAGGCTGTTCCACCGCATATTCATCAGCATCAACACAGCATCAGGCGTGCTCGCAGTCACCTCAGCAGCACCCGGAGCAACACCAGCACCAGCAGCGACAGCACTGCCAGTAGCAGTAGCAGGGGCAGCATCGGCAGGCGCGGGCGTGCAGGTGGCAGTGGCGGGGGACGTGGGGCAACTGAAGGGAGTGGACCTCGTGTGGTCACTGGCTCTCCGCTGCCCCTCTCCTGCCATCTGGCAACCCTGCATCCAGCTGCTCAGGGACTTACATTCATCCCTTGTAGCTCCGGAGAAGGTGTGTGCTCCTCATGCTATTACATACAGTCACAGTGTTGCCTTCTAGTGTCACATCATTGGGTCTCGTGTGGTCGCTGGCTCTCCGCTGCCTGCCCCTCTGCCGCCATCTGGCAGCTCTGCATCCAGCTATTAAGGGACCTGCACTCCTCGCTTGTAGCCCCAGAAAAGGTAGGTGCCGCAGTGTTGCGAGGGAGGGCGTGCAGGTGGCAGTGGCAGGAGACGTGGGGCAGTTGAAGGGAGTGCAGCTCGTGTGGTCATTGGCTCTCCGCTGTCTCTCCCCTCACCTTCCTTACTTGCCAACCCTCTCTACCCCCTCCCTCCAGGCCAAGCTAGTGGCGGTACGGCAGAGCTTCATAGGCGAGTGCATGCTCTCCCCTCCATTCCTCCCCACCAACCCCATTTTCCCCTTACCCCTTCCTTCCTGCCCAACTTCTATTTTCCAGGCCAAGCTGGTGGCGGTGCGGCAGAGCTTCATAGGCGAGTGCATGCGGCGCCTTGCTGCTGCGATGCAGCAGCTGGAGGGAGGGACAAGTGCGGGGTATAACGGGCAGATGTTGGGAGGGCATAACGGGGACGTGAAAGGGAGAAGCGCAGGAGGAGTGGCGCCCACTGGGAGGGATGCGCTGCCCATGGAAACGAGTGCGGAGGAGAGTGATGGCGGGGAGAGGACGGGTGATGCAAGGGATGGCGGCGGTGATGATGTGGCAATGGCTGGACAGGAGGATGAGGGTGGGCTGGAAGCAAGGGAGCAGGAGAGGGAGGTGGGGGGTGCAAGGAGTGGGGAGTTGAACGGAGAAGGCACAAGGGGTGGCGAGGGTGGCAGGGGCAGCAAGGGTGGCAGTAGTTTGGAAGGGCAAGCTTCAGCAGAGGAGCAAGCACAGCGCTGCCTTTTGCTCTTGACAGTAAGTGCGAGAGCAGCACATAGGAGGGTAGGGTGAGTGAGCATGGAGGGACAAACAACCTGCAAGTGTGCAACAAAAGACACGCCTTCCATACATATGGATGTGCACAAATTGCATCACATGCACTCCTCTTCTTCCGACATGCACTCAGGCCTACTGCTTTTCTATAATTCCTCCATCGCCTCCCCTGCCCCATGCCCTTCTCTCCCACTTCCACTCCCAGCAATTCCTCATTCTCTGTGAGGCTTCCTGCCCTCGCAGGGTGCCACCCCACGGTGCTACCTACCAGGACAGGCCGTCAAACAAAGGCCTGCTCCCCTCTCTGCCTCCCCCATCAAAAACCGCCCTCCACCCATACACCCTTCCCCTCCGCCCACCACACACCCCCTTCCCCCCCTCCCTCCCAGCAATTCCTCACGCGCTGTGAGGCCAGCTGTCCCCGCAGAGTGCCGCCCCACGGCGCCTCCTACCAGGGCAGGCCGTTTCAAGTGGAGGTGAGATCTGAAACAGGCCATTTCAGGTGGAGGTGAGATCTGAAACAGGCCATTTCAGGTGGAGGTGAGATCTGAAACAGGCCATTTCAGGTGGAGGTGAGATCTGAAACAGGCCATTTCAGGTGGAGGTGAGATCTGAAACAGGCCATTTCAGGTGGAGGTGAGATCTGAAACAGGCCATTTCAGGTGGAGGTGAGATCTGAAACAGGCCATTTCAGGTGGAGGTGAGATCTGAAACAGGCCATTTCAGGTGGAGGTGAGATCTGAAACAGGCCATTTCAGGTGGAGGTGAGATCTGAAACAGGCCATTTCAGGTGGAGGTGAGATCTGAAACAGGCCATTTCAGGTGGAGGTGAGATCTGAAACAGGCCATTTCAGGTGGAGGTGAGATCTGAAACAGGCCATTTCAGGTGGAGGTGAGATCTGAAACAGGCCATTTCAGGTGGAGGTGAGATTTGTTCGTTGCTTTATTTAATTTTATTTTCTTTTCATTTTACTCTTCAGCTGTACAAACACAGCAAGCATGATAGGCTTATCGTTCATGCCCCATCCGATCCCACCACATCCCATCACAAGCAGGTGACAGTGGCACACAGCAAACATGTGAACTTCTTTGTTCACACGCATGCAAACGAGTACCTGCGCTTGCTGCGACTCAAGGTGGGCTACAACATACATGTGCATACATAAACGTCTGTTTGTTTAATGTATTTAATATATATATATATATATATGTATTCTGATGGAATCGGTTGCACTGTTCTTTTCCTGTTCCCCCTCTTTCTCTCAGCTTGCTGAAACTATTGCCCTGACTTGCGTTGACCTGCCTTGACTTGCCAGGTGGCCCACAAGCTCGAGTGTGACTTGGCGCGTGTGCGGCTGCTATTGGACGGCCATGAGCTGCTCTCTGATTGGCTCGTGCTCCGGCAATGCGGGATCACGGACGGGCGGCGACTCATTGCTTCTGTCATGGTGTGTGGTTCAGTTACAATGATTGTAGGTGTGTGACTGTAACGGATGCACTCTTAGGCTATTCCTGAACCGCCTAGAGGATTGTGTTCTTTCATTGTCTTTGTGTGATTGTAATGGAGGTGCTCTTAAATGTGACTGCATGCCTCTATCTTCGTTTTCTTCTGCTCCTCTCCTTTCCGGTGCAACCCCCCCCCCATGCCTCCTCTCGTTCCAGCTGAATCCCCGACCTCGCAGCAGGCAGCAAGGGGAGGGAGGGGAGGCAGAGCTTCCGGGAGTGCTCATGGCACGACAGGGGGAGGTGGGTTAGGGTTTGAGGGGAATGGGGTCGGCAAAAGGAAGGAGGATGTATTTGAGCGAGAAGAAGGGAAGGGGAGAGCGGAGTGGCAGGGCTGCGGGGCGGACGGGGGGGATCACATGCTTGTGATTATCCTTGTTGTTTCATGTTCCATGTCACTTTTCTTCCCTCACGCCTTCATTCAAAGATGTTTGACCTTGTGATTGATTGGCTCTTCAATGATTGAACCAGCCCGCCGGCTCTGTTGTTTGTTGTTGGGAAATTGTCTCCCTGCATGGCAGGTGTACGGCATTCCCTTCCGTCTGATTTTTTTAGTCAGACTCGATTTTCGATCGACTAATGAACCAGCTTGATATTTCTGAGTTTGGAACCGTTTCTTTGCGTGCCTGCAGGTGTACGGCACTCTCTTCCGCCTGCTTCAATCCGCCAACCATCAAGTGCAGCAGGTTTGTCTTCCTTGAGTCGCTTCTTCAAAAGTGTATTGAGTGCAACAGGCTCGTCTGGTGTGTTGACTCGACTCCACCCAGACCTGACTGAATCCAATTTGTTATGAATTGTCTGGTGCAACAGGGTCGTCTGGATTCGAGTTGATTTACAACCCGATGCTCATGTCTAGCGTCCACCCACTCCCTTCCCTTCTTCCCACCCCCCTCCCCTGCCTCTCCGCACATCAGGCAGCGGACGAGCTCCTCATGCTGCTGCCAACACACCGCGCCATTCTTGACGATTTCATGGTCAGTCAGTCGCACTCACACAGGTGTTCAATTCTTTGTCAGTGTTTGAGAATCGTTTTGTAGTCGTCAGTCGCAGGAGCTGTTTATCTCTTGTCGATCGCGCAGTTGTGAAGATTTGATTCTTGGTCGGTGGGATCTGATTCTGCCCAGGTCGCTACTACACCTGCATCCGCATGGGCCTATGCGTCATGGACAGGTGCATGCATCACCACAGCACACATACACCTGGTCACAGTGACCTGTCTCTCCTATATACCCTCTCCCTGCACCCGCCCTAGATTTCATACTCTCTCATCGTCTCCCTCTTTCGTGTTCTCTCCCTCACATCTGACCACTGACTGTGACTCCCCCTGCAGAGCATCCAGTCAGCGCCATCAGCAGCCGAGGCTGCAACCATTCTGACGCATCTCCTGCGTCCCTCGCCACGCCTTGTTTATACGCTGCAGGTGATTAGGATTTCCTTGTTTGAGGGTGTAGCAGTTTCCGGGTTTAAGGGTTTAGCGCGACTGTCAGGCACGCTACTGCAGGTGATTAGGGTGGGGTTTCAGGGTTTAGAGCAATTCGCCAGGCACGCTACTGCAGGTGATTAGGGTGGGGTTTCAGGGTTTAGAGCAATTCGCCAGGCACGCTACTGCAGGTGATTAGGGTGGGGTTTCAGGGTTTAGAGCAATGGCCAGATACGCTGCTGCAGGTAATCACCATACTTCGTCGCTTGCTCACTCACTGTTCCAAGCTCCCATCTGTTAACCATAATTCTCTCATGCATCAGCGCCCCATTCCATCATCTTCCCATCCACCCATCCCATCTGCCCCTTATGCCCGTGTGCCTCCATGCATCCCACCACGCCACTCACCACCAGGTGCTGGACGGGCTATTGCTGCCTGTCAACCGCCAGCCCTCGCCTGCCACCCTTCGCTTCCGAGCGAGCTTTCTCCAGTCCAGTGGCTTCAGGTGACCTTTCAAATTTTGTTGTCTGCCCAAACGAATGCATGACTTGTTAGAGCTAGACTTCAATTTCAACTTTTGTACTTGTACGTTTATATCCTAGCGTTGTGTAGATTGCACTGTGTTTGGTTGGGTGTACACACACCCACATCCCAACCAAACCCAAATGTGATCACCAAGCAATCTCCAACCCACCAATTGGACATTGCCTTGGGATTGCCCTTGATCCCCTAGGGATTACCTCAGATTCCCTCCTCATCCATTCCTTGCTCATTTCGTTTGTACTTAGAGAGCTTTGAGCTCATTACTAAACCCCAAAGCTCAATTCTTCTGGCTCATGGTTTCATATCCGCATCGTTTCAGGGCATGTGTAGTCTGATTGGTTTGTAGGTGTACATGTCCGGGCCTGGTTCTACCTCTCTTTGCTCTGTACCGTCTTCTTCTCACTTCTCCAAAAACCACACCAGTACTTTCTCTCTTGTCAACAACACCCGACCTCCTCTCCCTCTCACCTTCGGAACGCCCCCCTCGTTCTCATCCTTCCGCAGTGCCCTCATGTCGCCCCCCTTACTAATTGGCCACTCTCTTCTCTCCCTCCTCCCCCCTCTCCATCCCGCCTACATCCTTCCGCAGTGCCCTCATGTCAGTCTTTCAGACCCAAGCCCTGCCGCGTGCAACGGATGACAGCACGAGGCGGAAGTGCTACATGAGCGCCCTGCACATTCTGAAGCTCCTGGTGAGTGTCTCTGTTTGCCGTGCCCTTGAAAAGTTTCTTCTCCTCTCCTTAATTCGATGTGTGTTCGCCTGTTTCCATCGTGCCGTGGCCCCCCAAACCCTAACATGTTTCAGCTGTTTGGCGATCACTTTGGTGGCGCCTCTAGCACAGCACCAGGCCTCTGGGAGGACTGCGAGGAGGAAGGCAGCGACGAGGAGCAGCTGCCAGATGCCGCATACACAGCCGCAGCAGCGGGTACTGTAGCAAGCACTATAGAGAGCATTGTGGGGATCACTGTAGCCCGTACAGTGCCAGTGGCGGCCGCCCCTCTCCTTGCCACGGCACCTGGCAATTCGTCTGAGCCAACCTGCCTCATCCGGTGAGCGATTCTCGATTTTATTCGACTCAAAAAACAAAATCATTCTGTTGTGCCTTCTTCGAAATGGCTGCCAGCAGCCACTTGGTGTCTTTTGAGGCACTTTTTAAGCTGCCAGCAGCTTCTCGGCCTCTTGTTCTTTCTTTGTTAACTATTATGCGATATCTATCCAATCAGCTCTTCTATTCTTCTCTGGCCTTTGCTGAGGTGAATTTTGGGCTGGACTGATTGGAAGTATTGTTTTCTTTATTTATTTATTTATTTATTTATTTCTTTCCTTTCTTTCTTTCTTTTCTTTCTTTCTTTCTTTCTTTTATTTTTTGTTGGAGCCAAGTTGTCGCATCTGGTGAGGTGATTCATTTCCTGTGAAACCTCTACCTGTGCCTGTGTGTGGCTTTGGTGTTGTTCCCTGCAGGGCGGATGGCACAGTGGTGGTCGCGGAAGCAAAGAGGGTGGGTGAGGGGATGGACGAGGGGGAGGAGGAAGACGTGGAAGTACAGGACATTATTCTGGATAACGGGGGACTCACTGTAGATACTTGTGAAAATGCTGCCAATAAAGGGGTTGTTCCTAGCGAGGACGCCCCAGCTCCTCAGCCTCCTGCAGCAGGTGCTGCTGGAGCAGCACAAGCACCAGCACAAGCACAAGCACCAGCGCAGCAAGCAGTTGTAGAAGCAGCTGCTGTAGACTCGCCAGCAGCCGCGACGGCAGCCCCTGTTCCGGCAGCAGCAGTGGCCCCTGTGCCTGGAAGGGATGTGCCGCCATTTGTAGCAGTAAGTCTCATTCCTCACCGCTTTCTCCCAGCTTCACCACGCTGCGACACCAGTCTGCTGCTCTGATCCACCTCATTTTTGTCCCATGCGTTTTGTTTCTTTAGGCGTCTAAAAAATTATGATGCACCCTCAGTTCGGTCTCGTGCGTTTTGTTACTTGCACGGGGAGAATTATAACTGATTCCTCTCCTTACTGCCCCCACAGATCATGGATGCGCCGTCTACCCTGCTGCCGGCTGATTGGTCAGAGCTCACCAATACCATCATGATGCTCGCCTGGGCGGCATCGATTGGCTCTTTGCAGGCCATGGTGTCACCCAATCCGCATGCATTCGATACTGCAGCAGCTGTTGCTGTGAGTGAATTGTGCACGGTGTATGTATGTATGCGTGCACACAAGAAATGTATCCATGCAGAGCTGCATGTGTGCATGCGTCCATGTGTTGATGCATGCGTGCATACCAAATGTGCATGCATGTTAGTGGTTAAAATGTCCTGTTGTGCTTGTCAAATACAAGACTTTAGGCGCCTATAAAATAATATTTTTGCTAGATTGTCCTCTTGTGCTCCTCAGAGGCAAGCCCTTGCAACGCATACCTACATACATCATGAATGTGTAATGCATACCTACATACATCATGAATGTGTAATGCATACCTACATACATCATGAATGTGTAATGCAACCCACACCTGCTAAAACCCATGTTAGTTCGCTGCTCCCTGATTCACCTGTAGGGCTCCCTTCCAAATTTCATCCTTCTTTTTACACCCCTCTCTCCTGCTCTTCCCTTTCATCCCTCCCGTCCCTTAACTGTCTCTCCTGTTTCTCCCACCTCCCATTGCTCCCACCATTGGCAGCACCTAGCCCTGCAGTCTGGGCTAAAGCAGCGGGTGGAGCAGGCCGGCTCGGGGAAGAGGGGAGGGGAGGAGAGCGATGAATCAGAGGACGAGGATGATGAGGAGGAAGAGGATGAGGACGGGGCGGATTCACTGTTATATCCTGATGATGCGTGCCTGGCGATAGAAGGAGCGGTGGTGCTGGTGAGTGTGGGGCTTGGGGGAGTGATGGAGAGACGCTTGGGAGGCGGATGAGGACGGGGCGGATTCACCGTTGCATCCTGATGATGCGTGCCTGGCCATAGAAGGAGCGGTGGTGCTGGTGAGTGTGGGGCTAGGAAAGTGATGAACAGAGGATTAGGAGGAGGATGGGGAGGATGAGGACGGGGCAGACTCACTGTGACATCCTGATGATGCTTGCCTGGCGATAGAAGGAGCGGTGGTGCTGGTGTGTGTGGGGACTAGGAATGTGAGGAACAGAGGATGATGGGGAGGATGAAGCTGCCGACTTATTGTTGCATCTCGACAATGCGTGCTTGGCGATAGAAGGAGCGCTGGTGCCGGTGAGTTTGGTGTTTTAGCCCTTTCTCCTCTGCTCCAACAAATCCCCTCCCCCCCCCCCCCCCCCCCCCCCCCCCTCAACACCTTCCCCCGATTTTTTCACCCCTCTTCCTTTTCTTCCTCCTGCAAAAAGCCCTCTTGTATTTGTCGACTTCATTCGCGCTCTTTCTAAATTGCAAGTGGCTGCACACCTTGAAAAAAAAAATTCTCAGTCATTCGTTTTCCCCACTTCCCCTCACTCCCTTCCCCCCCCCCCCCCCCTTTTTTTCTTCTCTTGTTCCCCTCAGTCAGAGTGCCTGGGTCGTCGGAGAGAGATCGCCACCATCCTCTTCTCCTCTCACTTCCCCTCGCTCCCTCCCTCCCCTGACTCTCCCCCCCACCTCCCCTCCCCCCTCCCGCCCCCACCCACCTCCTGTCTTCTTCTCTTGATATCACAGTCAGAGTGCCTGGGTCGTCGGAGAGAGATCGCCACCATCCTCTTCTCCTCTCACTTCGTTTCCCGATTCATTGTTGTGAGTCTCGTCCCGTTCATCGTACTCCGTCCATTCCATTCCATTCCATTCGTTGCTTCAGCTAATTGAGCTTCAGCTATTAGACATGTATTAAATGGATAGTTTTTTCTACTTCATGCTCCCTACTTCTCCTAACGTTTCTTGCTCCCGCCTATCCACTCCTGATTCTCTGGCCATTCCATCCTCTTCTTCACATGCTGGCACCCCCCCAGGACACCTGCTTGCACTGTCCAGAAACTGAAATTCGATACAAATTTGCAGAGCTCTTTCTTCACATAAGGTACTGCGTTGGTCCACGTAGACGGTAAATATCTTTCTATGTTCAGTTTTTTTTTTTCCTTTACTTTTCTACCCTGATGTTCACCCTTACAAGATGTTCATCTATCTTTAGCATTCTCTCAGCCCAGTCACCCAATCTTCCTGTTAGCACCACGCCAACACACACATCTCATGTGATCGTGCCATGTCCTATGGCGTAATCAACCTTTTTCCTTGTCCTCCCCCATGCTCCTATTCTCCCACCCACCCGTCCTCCCAACAGCCTGGAAAAGTGGCCGCCACTCCCCTCCTCCACCACACAGCCAGCAGCACCATCAGTCGCACCAGCTTCCACAGCACTACCAGCAGCAGCAGCAGCAATGTCATCGCGAGCAGCAGCAGTGACAGGCCAGGCTGGTGCCACTCTCGGCCTCCCAGGCCATCCCTCACGCCCCTTCACATCCATCCACTCCTGCATCTTCCACTCCCTCGCCTCTGCCCGTGCTGCTGCTGACAAGCAACCAAAACACAACAGACCAGTGAGTGCACAACCTGGCAGTGAAGATCAGTGAGAAGCGGTGGAGTGGTGGACAGGAGCGTTGATTCACAATGCTCTTGCTATTTTTGTGGTGGAGGGGACCCCTCCTCTGTTGACGTCTCTTTATCTCTCTCTCCTCTCATTCACTTCCACTTCTCTCAACCCCCCCCCCCCCCCCCTTCTCATCCCCCCTTCTCTCAAACCTCCCCGCCCCCCTCTCATCCCCCTTTCTCTCAACCCCTCCAGTACTGGGAGGGGGCAGCTGTGCAAGGTGGTACATCCACTGGTTGCTCCTATGCGTCATTTTTCCTCGTTTGACGTCCTATGATCTCTCTCTCTCCTTCCCTCTTACCCCCCCCTCCCCCCCCTCCAGTACTGGGAGTTGCTATGCAAGGTGATGTATTCAGGTGTTGTACTTATTCGTCGTTTCTCCTCTCCCTCTCTTCTCATCCATCACCCGCTCCTCCCTCCCCTCCAGCACTGGGAGTTGCTATGCAAGGTGATGTATTCAGGTGTTGTACTTATTCATCATTCTCCTCTCCCTCTCTTCTCATCCATCACCCGCTCCTCCCTCCCCTCCAGTACTGGGAGTTGCTGTGCAAGGTGGTGCAGGGGGTGTGTCTTCGAGACGAGGAGGAAGTTGTCAGGAAGCTTCTGGACGAGGAGATTCGCTGGCTGCAGCACGTGACATGGGGAATGGATGGCAGGGAAGAGGTGAGGGGAGAGGTTGTGAGTAGAGAAAGAGAAAGGTGGAGGTGAGGAGTTGAGAGTAGAGATGAGCAACGAACCAAACTCTGGTTCGGTTCGGTCGAACGTGCTCGATTGCACTCCAACCAAACCGAACTTCTGTTTTCCCCAAAAATGTTCGGTCAAACTTCGAAAAAGTTTGGGCGGGCCGAAGTTGTTTGGTTCTGCCCCTGACAGATAATCTCGAAAGGTTCGACTGTTCGGACAAGGCAGGGTTCAATTCAGGAGTAAAATGAAATGGACCCTCAAACCGAAAGTTTGAGTTCGGCCGAACCCTAAAAAGTTTGGCCAAACCGTTTCGGTTCGCCCTAGTACAAGCAAAGCAAACCTCGAACCCTAAAAAGTCTTAAAGCAGCAGTATACATTTGACAGTGTGGTTTAGGGTTTTACAGTCTGCCTCACGATTTCGGCCCCAACATGTACCATTTATGAACGGCTGGCACTCGCCCTGCCAAATGGTAGACTGTAAATGCCCAACAGTATACTGCTGCTTTGAAGAATGTTCAACCAAACCTGTCCAGTTCGGTTTGGCTGAATGTAAACGTAAGGAAAAGTTCTACCAAACACATTTGAGTTTGGTTCGTGCTCAACTCTTGCCGCGAGGAGCGCCTTCTCCTAGGAAACTTCAGAGGTCTGGGAATCCTGGAGGTCCTCGGGGATCGCTGCTCACGATCTCATTATATTGATAAACATAAGTGATGCGTCTACAGGTCGCACCAAGGAGATGATATCTGTGAGGTAGGTTGATCGCTTGAGGGTCTAGGATATCTGCGACTTATAGATGCATAACTTATGCATATCAGTTCTGGGAGATTGAGAGCAGAATTTCGAGGACCTCCAGGATTCTTAGACCTCTGAAGTTTTCCAGATTCGTGCTTGCATCGTGAGGCGAGGACGGAGATCATTGAGGAGAGGAGGCTCGGGGAGAAAAGGTGCAGAGAGGAGAGAGGAGGTGGGGATGGAGGAGGAAGAGGAGGAGAGCAAATATGGAAGAAAGGAGAGAGCACCAAAAAAAAAAAAAAACCTTCTCTCCTCACCTTCTACGCTCACCTCATCTTTCCTCTTCCCAGCTGTTGGATTGGAAGGCCATCTGCTGCTGCTCAAAGTGCAGCTAGAGGTGCCAAAGTGCTCATTCCTAACAGAGCTCACTGTGTTCCCTGTACTTTCTGGCCACATCCTAGCTGCTGGAGAGCCATCTGGAGGCGCTGCTTAAAGTGCTGGTGGAGGTGATGGATTGTTGTTGCTGCTCCTCAAAAAGCGCTCATCGAGGTGTTGGGATGCTCCCTGATCATCGAGGTGTTGGGATGCTCCCTGATCATCGAGGTGTTGGGATGCTCCCTGACTTAATAAACCTAACAATGCCAACGATTTTTCTCCTCCCTTGCCATGTATACCTCAGCTGCTGGAAGGCCATCTGCTGCCGCTCAAAGTGCTCGTAGCGGTCCTCGAGTTCTCTTCTCACTTCTTACAAGCTTTACCTTATTCCCTATGTGTTCTTGCCACACCGCAGCTGCTGGAGGGTCATCTGCTGCTGCTCAAGGTGCTCGTGGAGGTGCTGGAGTGCCGCCCCCTCGTGGCCTGCTCTCCACCCCACGGCCATGGGCTGTTGCACCTGGTACGCTGTGTGCTGGGGGGAAGGGGGGCGGCATGATGAGGGGTTTGATGTTTGTTGTGGAAGCAAGAATGTCCCAGTGGGTACCTTTGGTCTTAGTGGTCGCAGGTTCAACTCTCATCGGCAGCACCTTCTCTTCTCATTATGCCGAACATGACACTCCCACACTCCACCACACTCACCCACAGTGAAGTGTGGTCACAGTTGGCATTGCCATCTGTCCACCCATCCCATACTCACCTTGTTGGCTCCTATGGTGTGCCACATGCTGCCATGTAGGCTGTTTTTCCAGCCTGGCCCACATGTGCAACATGTGGCCTCAATTGCTAGCTTGGCAAGGTTGGCTAGCCCTGCCCTCAGCTTTGAGGTGCTGCAGCTAGCCTCAAGAGTTCAGCCACATAAATGTGGCTTCCCACTTCTCTAGAACTCATCCTTGGAAAGGACATTGCTCTAGCCTTTCAGGCTTGTACCATCTTCCTACTAAGGATATATTGTTCTTTTCTCATTGTGCCTCAAGTTCACCGATCCTCATTCTACAATGTTCATGGTCTCCACCCACCCCTCCGCCATGGACTGTTGCACCTGGTAGTATTGGGAGGGTGCTGTGTGTTGAGAGAGTGTGTGGCCGATGCCGCGTTTGACGTTTATGGGTGTCCTCCACCCCACGGCCATGGGCTGTCGCACCTGGTATGCTGTGTTGTGAATAAAAATGGAAGAGGTGGAAAGTGATTCTATACGAATTTTCAGATATTAATCGAGTGAGTGCACAGTTCTTTGGTTGAACAGCGAGAGCTAAAGAATGTTCCCTCCAACAGTAGATGCCATTGCTGGTACTTACCATCGGGCAGATTTCTGATGTTTCATCAATTTGTTTGTTCCCTTTTCCTGCCGTACCCCGCGTCCCTCTCCCGCCCCCCCCGCCTTGCAGCTCATCACTCGCTGCCTCTTCCCCGAGTGGCCGGTGGTCGTTCCCAGCCACCAACAACAACAACCGCCACAGCAGCAACAACACCACAACCACCATCACCACCACCACCAACAACAACAACAACACCAACAACACCGACAGCAACAGCAACAGCAGCAGCCAGCAGGCGAAGCCTCGCCTCCCACGACCTGGGGCCTTCTCTCTGCCAGCCCCCACGATGCTGCAGTCTTCCGCCCCCTCTGCTCCGCCTCGCCCTCCCGCAACGCTGCCTTCACCCTCCTCCTCGCCCTCTGTGCCAAGGTATTTGTGTGTATCATGTTACTATTGAGCTTTCAAACTGTTGCGGGTGATGTTGCTGCCACTTTTGAGTATAATCGAAGGCTCCGCGCCCACTCCTATCCTCGTCATCCTCTCGCAATGCTGCATTGACACCCCTCCCCACCCTGCGACAATGTGAGCCTGATGTTAAAGTGCTGTAGGGTTTCTGAAAATCTCAAGAACAACCTACAACATGAAGTTACTGAAGATCACACCTCCTCACAACCCCCCTTCTCATCTCAGGCCCGCCCGTGTCCTCCTCTTACCGCCCCCTCTCCCATGTCTCCTCTATGCAGATCGCAGAAGCCTTGAAGGAGCTCACCTCTCGATGCCCCACTGCCTGCACTTTGGCTGAGCTTTGCGGCACCTCACAACACTTCCCCCTCGCAAACCCCCACCCCTTATCCTGTTACCGCCCCCTCCCCCCTGTTTCTTCCATACAGACCCCTGAAGCCCTACGAGAGCTCGCCTCGCTGCTGCTGCCGCTGCACTTTGCCTCGGTGGAGCACGAGTTGCCTTCGTGGGAGTACCTCCCCAGCTGCGCCCCCCGGCCACGTGTGGGATATGCAGGCCTCAAGAACGCAGGTGCGTGGCAAGGCAACAACACAACTAAGTCTTGTCTTGCATGCACTGCGCCAAGACTAGGAGACCTTGCCGTTCCACCGACGCGAAGTGCAGGTATGGTGCAATGCATGCATCTCCCGCTCTCACAGTGACTTGGTCCACTCTAGCTGCACTTCGCCTCTGTGGAGCACGACGAGTTGCCATCGTGGGAGTACCTCCCCAGCTGCGCCCCCCGGCCTCGGGTGGGATACGCGGGACTCAAGAATGCAGGTATGTAGCAAAATTGTCGGCCGTGCAATAATGCATGTACATCCTGCATGCATTCCGTCAAAATTAGAAGACCTTGCCGCTGCTCTCAAATCTCAGAGTAGGGGACCTTGTGCGCTTTGCCTCTCTGGAGCACGAGCTGCCGTCATGGCAATACCTCCCCAGCTGTGCTCCCCTCCCCGGCCACGTGCAGCCTATTCCAGTCTCAAGCTATGCTGCTTGCACCTGACGCTCCAAAATTGGAGCGTGCGACATGAACAGTGTATTCCAGCATGAAATTTCCAGCGCCTGTTGCATGAACAGCATGAAATGTCTTCATGGAGCCCCCAGCGCCTGTTCAGTCGACTCCAACGTTGAGGCTACCTGTTTCCTTCCCCACTTTGTCGCTGCTTTACCTGCCCCCAGTCCCAGGAGCCACGTGCTACATGAACAGTGTGTTCCAGCAGCTCTTCATGCAGCCCCCCAAGTGACTTATAAGTTGCTGAAACGATTAATTCTTTGACCCCCATTTGAATGTCTTGTCCTCCCTCTCACCCCAGGAGCCACGTGCTACATGAACAGTGTGTTCCAGCAGCTCTTCATGCAGCCCCAAGTGACTTATAAGTTGCTGAAACGATTAATTCTTTGACCCCCATTTGAATGTCTTGTCCTCCCTCTCACCCCAGGAGCCACGTGCTACATGAACAGTGTGTTCCAGCAGCTCTTCATGCAGCCCCAAGTGCGCCGTGCCCTCCTTGCCTTCCCTGAGACACCCGAATCGGACCGACCTCTGTCTGTGATTTACCAAGTGCAGGTATTGTGTGGGGCTTGTGCGTTTTAGTGGAGAAGGCTCTTAAGGGGTACAGACAGCCTGCAGTAAATTGCACGCTACAGGCACTTTGGGGGACAGCAAAGGCATGCCGTCCGTGATCTGCAGTGCAGTTTATGCGCGGAACTGATGCCTTATACTGAGACAGGCTGTAAAAGGTACAGACAGCCTCCACTGCAGTGCAATTTGCGGGCATTCTTTCAGTCTCTTTTTGGAAGTTCTAAAAGCTATCCAGGCATACACAAACGTGCTATCCCAGCAAAGACAGACTTAATTTGTTTCCTGACCTCCCTTCCTCTCACCCTTTCCGTCTTCTCTTTGACTCTTCTCCACTTAATCTCTTCTCTTCCCTCTTCTCCCATTCTTCCACTGCAGGCCATTTTCAGCTATCTGCTAGCAGGCTGCCCTGACTACTTTGTTCCAGAGGGCTTCTGGGATGCCTTCAGGGACTACGACGGGCAGCCGGTGAACCTGAGGGAGCACCAAGACGCGTTTGAGTTCTTCAACCGGCTCTACGACTCGCTGGATGAGAGCATGAAGGCACAGCGGCATTCCCCCACGCTCACCTCCATTTTTGGCGGACATTTTGCACAGCAGGTGTGTGTGTGCGTGGGATGGTAGTTCCTGCAGCATGCTTATGGTATGTATGTGTTGGACCGCCTTTGAGTTCTTCAACCGCCTCTATGACTCTCTGGATGAGAGCATGAAGGCACAGCGGCACTCCTCCACAGTAACTTCCATATTCGGGGGGGCTTTCGCCCAGCAGGTGCGTGTGTGATAGTAGTAGACCAAGGTGTATGCCTGTGTTTCGTATGGGTGTGGACGGTTTGAGTTCTTCAACCGCCTCTATGACTCTCTGGATGAGAGCGTGAAGGCTCAACGGCACTCCCCCACACTGACTTCTATCTTTGGTGGCGCGTTCGCTCAACAGGTGCGTGGTGTGGTGCGGTGGGAGGGGCAGGGGTGGGTGTAGTGTAGTGTGATGTGGTGTGATGTGGTTTGATGTGGTGTGATGTGGTGTGATGCCTATCCCCCCCTATCTTCTCCCTACCACACCTCCCCGTCCCCACTTTCAACCACCACCCCCACCCCACTCCTCCTCCCTCCCCGTGTGCTGCAGATTATCTGTCGGAGCTGTCCTCATCGCAGATCATCTGTCGAGGCTGTCCTCATCGCAGTGAGAGGGAGGAGTCATTTGCAGCAGTGAGTGGGGACGTGACGGGCAAGCGCGGGCTGCAGGAGTCACTAGAGGCTTTTTCCCCCCTTTATCACCAGAGACGCATCTCCCTCATTCCCTCCCCTCCCCTCTTTCCCCTGTGCAGATCATCTGTCGAGGCTGCCCCCATCGCAGTGAGAGGGAGGAGCCATTTGCAGCAGTGAGTGTGGACGTGAAGGGCAAGCGCGGGCTGCAGGAGTCACTAGAGGCGTTTGTGCAAGGGGACTTGCTGGAGGCAGATAACGCCTACTTCTGTGGGCAGTGCGGCAAGAAGGTGAGCCGCAGCAGGGTGGGTGGGTGGGGCGGTGGGTGGGTGGGTGGGGCGGTGTGTGAAGAGCACAGAGCGCCACAACGCTTGCGCTGTGTCTTTATGTTGCTGCTTGCAAGGCGACTTGCTGGAGGCAGATAAGATAGCGCCTACTTCTGTGGGCAGTGCAGCAAGAAGGTGACAAGCAGCAGCGGTTGTGGGGCTGGTGGGTACAGGGCTTGTGAGTCAAGCAGAAAAGCACCACAGCTCTCCACAATGCCTGCATGGTGCCTGGCAAAGGGGGCCTGCAGGACAGGAGTCGCTAGAGGCGTTTGTGCAAGGCGACCTGCTGGAGGCAGATAACGCCTACTTCTGTGGGCAGTGCGGCAAGAAGGTGAGTGGCAGGGGATGGGGTTGTTGGTGGGTGGTGGTGGTGGTGGTGGTGGTGGTGGTGGTGTTTGTGAGGGAAGTGTGCAGAGCCGCTCTATGCCTTCACGCCCATTTGAGCCACCTAAAGAAGCCAAAATCGCTCCCCATTTTGCCCCTCGTTACATCCCTCCCTCACTCACCCCTCGTTTTACCCGTACTGCTTGCTGCAGGTGGACGCATTGAAGCGTGCAAGCATCAAGACCCTCCCATTTGGGCCACCCTAATGAAATCAAATCCTCATTCTGCCTGCCATTGTTACGCCCCTCGTTTTTCCTGTACCATTTTCAGGTGGACGCGTTGAAGCGCGCATGCATCAAGACTCTGCCGCCCACCCTGATAATCCACCTGAAGTGCTTCGACTTTGACTACGAGACGATGCAGCGGCTGAAGCTCAAACATGTCCTCTGCTCTCTGCCCTTGTTGTTTACTCCACCCTCCAACACCTCCGTTGCCCTACTTCCTTCTCCCTTGCAGGTCGATGCATTAAAACGTGCGTGCATCAAGACCCTGCCGCCCACCCTGATAATCCACCTGAAGCGATTCGACTTTGATTATGAGACGATGCAGCGGCTGAAGCTCAAGGACCGATTCACCTTCCCCCTCTCTCTCAACATGCGGCCGTTCACCCGCGAAGGGCTTGCTCAGAAGGAGAGAGAGCAGAGAAGGGGACGGGTAGGGGGTGCAGAGGGGAAGGAGGAAGGGAGGGACGAGGGGGGAGAGTTAGAGCAGGGGCGGGAGGAGGGAGAGGGGGAGGATAAAGGAGGTGAAAGCGTGAAGGAATCCAGAGAGGATAGGGTTGAAGGGGCTGTGGAGGAGAAGGGAGCTGGAGGTGGGGAGGAGAGGAGCGACGGGTATTATGAGTACAGCTTGGTGGGAGTGGTGGTGCATTCTGGAACAGCGTTTGCGGGGCATTATTACTCGTACATCAAGGAGAGGAGCGGCGATTCTCCGCTGCATCACAGTCGTCCATCTCAATCCGTGCGGTCGAAGTGAGTCAAGTGGAGGGGCAGTGGGTGAGACGATGGCTGAGCGAGTCAAACGTGGGTCAAGCAGAGTTGCATTGGTTCAAGCAGAGTTGCAGTGGGTCAAGCAGAGTTGCATTGGGTCAAGCAGAGTTGCATTGGGTCAAGCAGAGTTGCTTTGGGTCAAGCAGAGTTTCATTGGGTCAAGCAGAGTTGCACTGGGTCAGACAAAGTCAGAACGAGTGAAAGCGAGGTAAGCAGAGCTGCAAATGGTCTGAGCGAGTCAACGTGGGTCAAGCAGAGCTGCAGTGGATCCGATCAGACAAAGTCAAAGCGGGTCAAGGGGATGTGTGAGTGGTCGGAAGAGAGTCAAACTAAGTCAACGGGAGCGAGCGGCATCAGAAGGTATGGCGGCCCATGCATGCATGTGTGAAGATTTAAACTCATTCTCACACCCCTGTTGTGTGCAACATCTCAACCCCCATGTGTGTGTGCAGGCAGCGGTGGCTGTGCTTCGATGACAAGCGGGTGGAGGCATATGACGTGAGAGGGCTGGAGAAGGCATGGGCTTTGGGGTCACCACGAGGGTGCACTCATACCTGCACATGCACTTGTGCCATCCCCCTGTGTGTTCTTACAGGCAGTGGTGGCTGTGCTTCGATGACAAGCGAGTGGAGGCGTACGACGTGAGAGAGCTGGAGAAGGACTGCTTCGGAGGGAAGTACTCCGCTGAGGTGTATGACAACCTCATCAAGACCTCGTCGCCACAGGTGAGTAGGAGCAGCCTCAGGTGAATGAAGATTTGGTGACAAGGTAAGAACGGTTGCAATACAGGTCACACTAGCAAGGGAAGTACTCCGCTGAGGTGTATGACAACCTCATCAAGGCCTCGTCGCCTCAGGTGAGTGTGTTTGGTGAGACAAGATTGTACTCTTCCGTACACGTTAGCAAGCAAGGGAAGTACTCCGCTGAGGTATATGACAACCTCATCAAGGCCTCGTCGCCTCAGGTGAGGGATGCTTGTTGCTCTCGCAAGTGGAAGTAACCCGCTGAGGTGAGGTGTACGCCAACCTTATCTAGACCACGTCGCCTCAGGTAAAGGATGCGACCTCACTCTCAACCACCCATTTCCTCACTCTCAACCACCCATTTCCTCACTCTCAACCACCCATTTCCTCACTCTCAACCAACCACCCATTCTCTCGCTCTTACTCACCCATTTTCTCACTAACTCACCCTATTACTTTCTCACCCACCCATTTCCTCACTCTCACCCACCCATTTCCTCACTCTCACCCACCCATTTTCTCACTCTCACCCACCCAGTTCTTACTGTCTCCCTTTCCTCATTGCCACCCACCCTTTTTCTCACTCAGATTACCTATTACCTCACTTCCACTCGCCCATTCCTAAACCTTAAACCCTGTCTTCTCACTCTCACTCACTTGTTTCTTTCCGCGCACCCTTTTTCTCTCTCAGCGCTCTTTCCACCCACATGATTTCGACCCCCCCCCAAGAGCGCACACATGCTCTTTTATGAGGAAAACTCCCCCACCCCTGCAGCGAGTGCATGCTATTCTCTCTTCAATTGCGTGTATAAAGTGTCTCTCGGTTGTCTTCCCCCCCCCTTCTGCCCCCACAGGAGTTTGACCGGCCCAACAGCGCGTACATGCTTTTCTATGAGCGAATCGCTCCCACTGCTGCTGCTGCTACCAGCACTACCAGTGCTGCCCCTGTGGCCGCCAATACCACGGCATCCACCACTGCCACAGGTGGTGCTGCCAATACAGCTGCAACTGCAGAAGGGATGAGGGCGACAGGAGAGGCGCCAGCAGCGGCAGCCGCAGCAGAGACAGCAGCAGGCGCCCCAACCATTACAACCACTGCCATCACCATCACCCCATGCACAGCAGCAGAGGAGAGGGCGGATGGAGCAGTGGAGCCGTATAGCATCCCCCCCAGCATACACCACTGCGTGTGGCAAGACAACCTCAGGTAGGGGACAGGACAACCTCATGTACAGGAAAAGGGAATTCGGTAGGTAGATCAAAAGTAGAAGTTGCTGCTGCACCACCGGTGGTTGGGGCGCCTGCTACAACAGCCCACCTCAAAGCGGATCACATCCATATTCCTCAAGCTACTTCCCCCTGCCCCCTATCTATCCGTTCTTCAGGTTTCAGCACCATTAGTCATGTCTGCTCAGGTTCGTGGTTGTTTTTTAGTGAGGCACCTTCAAACAAACCCCCATCCTTCTCCTGCATGTCTATCTATCCTTGTGCGTGGCAGGCTTACAGTAGGAGTCACGGACATTGAGCCAAATGTACTTTCTCTTCAGCTATGCGTGATTGAGGCACCCCAAACAAACCCCCTTTCCCCCCCCTCCTTCCATTCCTCTGTCTATCTGTGTGCATGGCAGGTTTCAGCAGGAGTCACGGCTATTGGATCAGACATACTTCCGCTTCCTGCTGCAGCTCGCACGGGTCAACCTCGACGTCTTTCAAATGTCAGTTCAATTCGACCCACCTCCCCCTTACTTGGTCACCGTCTGTTTCCTGCCCAACATGTCGTGAGAAAGATGATGTTCGAGTCGAGGCACTTCGAGTGTTTTACTCTCACACTCCATTGCTTTCCTCCGTCCACCAGGTGCGACCATCGAGGCAAGATGGCGGCATTGTCAGACGCAAGGGCAGGCGGGGTGAAGGCGTCACCACAGCGCAGCGAAGCACTGAGGGTGGAGCGAGCAGCAGCGGAGAGGACGGGTGTGGGCTTCAACAGGTCTCGCTCAGAGTCCATTCCTTCACTCCGAAATATTCCTCACCACTCCACGTACCTTCGCTCCTCCACTGCAGGTGCCATGACCGAGGAAAAATGGCGGCGTTATCAGACGCAAGGGCGGGCGGGGTGAAGGCGTCACCACAGCGCAGCGAAGCACTGCGGGTGGAGCGAGCAGCGGAGGAGACTGCAGAGGCGCTGCTGTCGCTGCTGCTGCCGTTCCTCTTCCGCGTCTACCTGAGAGCGCATGCCAGCCTAAGGACAGAGGATCCTCTCTGGACGGTAAGATGGGGGGAGAGAATTGAATGGTATTGAGGGAGAAGTGGGGGGTCTATGTACAGATGGGTACACCCCCACTTCTCCTCAGCCTCTGTCATACAACTGGAGTGATTGTTACAGTTTTCTGACAGCTGTCGGAATCCCCAGGGCGTGCTGTCACACATGCTGGACGCCAACAGCACAGCTGGTCGCCTCTTCAACGCCAGGCTGGCGAGCAACGCTCTGATATGTGTCTTGTTGGCTCAACTCACTCCTCTCCCCTCGCACATTCTCCTCATCCCATTGCAATGCCCCACAGGGCGTGCTATCTCGCATGCTCGACGCCAACAGCACAGCCTGCCGCCTCGTCAACGTTCAACACTTGTGTGCTCCCCCTCATTGTAACGAGGTGACTTTTGAGTCGACTCAAAAGTCTGCTCCCCCTCATTGTTCCATTCCCCCAATACATAACATCACACCACCCCACACCACCCCACACCACCTCACAGGATGTGCTGTCGCGCATGCTCGACGCCAACAGCACAGCCTGCCGCCTCTTCAACGCGTGCATGGCGGGCAACAGGCGGTGGCTCTTGCTCTTCCTCCTCAAATGCCCCATCAACGCCATCTCTGTGGTATGCTTGTGCTGTCCTATGCGCGCCCTCCTTCTCTTTAGGTATGTATCATGTCATGAATGTGGTTTGGTTCGAAGCCCCGTCGATGTCATATCCGTGGTACATGCTATCCACGCCCTTTGTTTATCTGAGGTGGCGTGTGTAGCTGTTCTGCAGGGCAGAGAACCAGCTGCCAGATGGTTTAAGAGGCGATTTTTTTGGCGCCTCAAAAACCATCTCAGGGTGGCGTTTGTAAGTGATCTGCCGGGATGGGAACCAGGTGCCAGATGGTTTTAGAGAGGCTCGGTTTGGTCTCCCCCACCCTCCGTCCACCTCTCCCCTGCTTTCTTCCTCCCCCTTTCCACCAGGCTGTAGCAGACCTGCTGGTAACCAGCTGCCACATGGTTTGCAGGGACTCCATGCACTTCCTCTCACCTTGCACGTTCCCTTCCTCTCCCGCCCATCCGTCCCATCAGGCTGTAGCAGACCTGCTGGTAACCAGCTGCCCCATGGTATGCAGGGACTCCATGCACTTCCTCTCACCTTGCACGTTCCCTTCCTCTCCCGCCCATCCGTCCCATCAGGCTGTAGCGGACCTGCTGGTAACCAGCTGCCACAGTGCCACCTGCTTCCTCAACGCACGCACCCTAGTGCCTGCTGCTGCACTGCCCACTGCAACTCCTGCTGCTGCAGTTGGTGGGGCTCTTGAAGGGTCAGCAGGGGATGCTGCTGGGGTCTCTGGAACAGCAGGGGCAGCAGGAGGGGTGGCAGGGGCAGGTGCAGCGGGGGGGGATGCATTGAATGTGGACGCGTTGATTGATTCGCTGGTGTCGCTGCTGAGAGACGCCAGTGCCCCCTCCTGCCACGTGGACAACGTGAGTGAACTGCTGGCTAGGCATGCTACTGCTGGCTAGGCATGCTACTGCTGGCTAGGCATGCTACTGCTGGCTAGGCATGCTACTGCTGGCTAGGCATGCTACTGCTGGCTAGGCATGCTACTGCTGGCTAGGCATGCTACTGCTGGCTAGGCATGCTACTGCTGGCTAGGCATGCTACTGCTGGCTAGGCATGCTACTGCTGGCTAGGCATGCTACTGCTGGCTAGGCATGCTACTGCTGGCTAGGCATGCTACTGCTGGCTAGGCATGCTACTGCTGGCTAGGCATGCTACTGCTGGTTACCTTTCTCTGTTTACATTCCCTCGGTTGCCCTTTTTCTGCTGGATACGCTTTTGAGGGAGTAGCTTGCAAGACATTTTTTAGAGTTCTTAGAATGACTCCAACACTGCTGGTAAGCTGTCTGTTCAAGACTCCCCTACCCACCTCTCTCCTGTTGTTTCTGCTCTCTCCTTCCCTCTCCCCCCCCCCCGCAGCTGTGCAGCGTTTTGGTGAAATACGCCCACAATAAAAACAAAAATGCTCCCCTCCTTCCTCTTGCTCCTCTCCTGCCTTTCTGCTCCCCCCCCTCCAGCTCTGCAGCATCTTAGTGGAGTATGCACGCATCGGCCCCACCCAGCGCCTCTCCCTCATCCAGCCCTTCACTTCCTGCTTGTGCCTGACTCTGTGCTCTCCTCTCGTTCCGCTCTCCCCTTTCCCCCCCCCCCCCCCCTCCAGCTCTGCAGCATCTTAGTGGAGTATGCACGCATCGGCCCTACCCAGCGCCTCTCCCTCATTCGCAGACAGCTGCCCGCCACCTGTGTACGTGCTGTGAGGTGCCGTGAGGTGCTGTGAGGTTCTGTGAGGTGCCGTGAGGTGCCGTGAGGTGCTGTGAGGTGCCGTGAGGTGCCGTGCGGTGCCGTGAGGTGCTGTGAGGTGCTGTGAGGTGCTGTGAAGTGCTTTGAGGTGCTGTGAGGGCATATCCATGTTCGGGTCATGAGCACTGTTCTGGCTACTGTTTGGGTCATACGGAATTTGCGCATGACCCGAAGTGGGCTGCCGAGCCGCGCGCGGCCGGGTCTTACTAAGGATGTTTCGAACTGTTCTGGCATCCCTCCATTGGATACGACTGTTCGCGAAAACCTTTGCGGCTCTTTGGGGGTCGCATGAGTTTGGAGGACCCAAAGTGGCGTTTTATGTTGTTTGGGTCATCCGCAAATTGCGGATGCCCGGAACAGTGCCCATGACCCAAACATGGATACGCCCTGAGTTGTCGTAATAAGTGCCGTGAGGCGGCCCAGCCTCCCTCTGCCTTGGCTGGTGTTTTGAGACGTCTCAATTCTTATCCACCAACACTTGCCCGCCTCACTCACCTATACTTGGAGAGTGAGCTTGCGTTGACTGCTGGAAGTGCTATTAGAAGTGAGAGTTGGAAGTAACCCGGAAAGAGTATGTTCGTCTTATGCTTTTCCCATTGTGCTTTGCTGTCCTCGATGCCTTCTGCCGGCTCGTCCTACCCTCGCCCCCGTCCCCAGCTGGACTATCTCGCTCGACCGAGTGGGCATTGCAGCAGCAAGGCGACTTTTGAGTCGACTCAAAAGTCACTCCCCCCACCCCCCTTCCCCTCTTACCCATTGCGGCTGGACTATCTAGATCGAGTGGGGATCGCAGCATCAGCAGCCAAGCTCCATCTCTCGCCCCTCCAATCCCCCCTTGCCATCCTCATCTGCTCCTGCCGCCCCCTGTTGTCCCCAGTCTCTTGACTCACCTTCACATTTTCCTTCACCCCGCCCCCTTCCCCTCTCCCCCTTCCCAGCTGGACTACCTGGATCGAGTGGGGATTGCAGCAGCAGCCAAGCTCCATCTCTCGCCCCTCCACTCCCTCCTCTCCATCCTCATCCGCTCCTGCTACCCTCGCCCTCCCCCCTCTCGCCGCCCCACCCCCGCTTCCACCCCTGCATCAGCGGGGGATGTGGGGGGGAATGAGGAGGGGGAAGGGGAAGGGGACGAGGGGGAAGGGGAAGCAAGGGCGCATGGAAGGGGGAGGAGGAAGGGGGAGGGGAGGTTGCATGGGAGGGAGGAGAAGGGCAAGGGGAAGGCGGGGCAGGGGGGAGGAGAGAGGCGGAGGGGGTATGGTGGGGCTTCTGCAGGGGCAGCAGGGGCGGCAGGGGCAGTGGGGGAGGTGGAAGAGGAGGGAGGGGAGGAGGAGGACGCTGGGTTGCAAAATCCGGCGTTTTTTTGGCCGCCCGGTGGCGGTGCTGCCGCCCCGTGTGGCTCAGCTTGCAGCAGACCCAGACTACGTCAATCTGCTGGTTAGTAGTTTCTTTCTCTGCTGCTGTGGAATGTTGGTGTGGTAACCATGTCAAGTTGCCAGTAACGTGTTGGATACTCTGTTGGCTGGTGTGGGAAGGATTGCGGGAGGGGATACTCTGTTGCTCATTTTTCTAAATTCTCAAGTATCTGCTTTGCTGGTAACCTCCTCTCCCGTTTCCCCTTTCCTCTTCCCACTCCCCTCGCCCACTCCCCTTCCTTCCCCCCTCCTTCTCACTCCAGATAACATCGAATCTAGACAACCAGGACACCATCTCTCTCCTCCTCTACATCTCCTTTGCTTCTGTCTCCCATTCCCCATTCCCTCTTTCTACTCCCCTCACCCATCCCCTTCCCCCTCCCCCCCTTCTCCCCCCTCCCCCTCACGCCAGATAACGTCGAATCTAGACAACCAGAACACCGTCTCTCTCCTCCTCTACATCTCCTTCGGCAACGAGAGCGAAAGCATTGTACGTCTGTTTGTCTCACCTTTCCTCTTGGTTTGTGCAAGGCCAATGAGTTTTCTACAGCATGCTGCTGTCTCCCAACCCAACCCGAAGCCGCACCACCCCTTTCCTCACTGCATTTCCCCCCCTCCCCTTCCTTCTTCCACGTGTGTGTCTGTCTGTGGTTTCATAGACTGCTCACCTCAGCCGCACCACCCCTTTGATAGACTGCTCACCTCAGCCGCACCACCCCTTTGATAGACTGCTCACCTCAGCCGCACCACCCCTTTGATAGACTGCTCACCTCAGCCGCACCACCCCTTTGATAGACTGCTCCGCGAAGCCATGGGCTCTCTGCAGTGTGCTGTTGTCACGTCGTCCGATTGCTCTCTGCAGTGTGCTGTTGTCACGTCGTCCGATTGCTCTCTGCAGTGTGCTGTTGTCACGTCGTCCGATTGCTCTCTGCAGTGTGCTGTTGTCACGTCGTCCGATTGCTCTCTGCAGTGTGCTGTTGTCACGTCGTCCGATTGCTCTCTGCAGTGTGCTGTTGTCACGTCGTCCGATTGCTCTCTGCAGTGTGCTGTTGTCACGTCGTCCGATTGCTCTCTGCAGTGTGCTGTTGTCACGTCGTCCGATTGCTCTCTGCAGTGTGCTGTTGTCACGTCGTCCGATTGCTCTCTGCAGTGTGCTGTTGTCACGTCGTCCGATTGCTCTCTGCAGTGTGCTGTTGTCACGTCGTCCGATTGCTCTCTGCAGTGTGCTGTTGTCACGTCGTCCGATTGCTCTCTGCAGTGTGCTGTTGTCACGTCGTCCGATTGCTCTCTGCAGTGTGCTGTTGTCACGTCGTCCGATTGCTCTCTGCAGTGTGCTGTTGTCACGTCGTCCGATTGCTCTCTGCAGTGTGCTGTTGTCACGTCGTCCGATTGCTCTCTGCAGTGTGCTGTTGTCACGTCGTCCGATTGCTCTCTGCAGTGTGCTGTTGTCACGTCGTCCGATTGCTCTCTGCAGTGTGCTGTTGTCACGTCGTCCGATTGCTCTCTGCAGTGTGCTGTTGTCACGTCGTCCGATTGCTCTCTGCAGTGTGCTGTTGTCACGTCGTCCGATTGCTCTCTGCAGTGTGCTGTTGTCACGTCGTCCGATTGCTCTCTGCAGTGTGCTGTTGTCACATCGTCCGATTGCTCTCAAGCCTGACCCGGCCCTCTTCGTCCCGTTCCCCACCTTCCCTGATTGTGCCCTGAACTGTGCGCGTGTGTGGTTCCATAGACTGTTCTCCGAGGCCATAGAAGCAGTCACGTCGTCCCATGGTTCTCAAGCCTGACCCTCTTTCGTCCCGTCCCCCCCCCCCTCCCCTAATCGTGCTCGTTTTTCACAGACTGTGCTTCGGGAGGCCATGAGCTCATTGCAACGAGCAGCAGTCACATCGTCTCGTCGCATTCTCTCGTTGCTGCTGCACCTACTCAAGCTGCCAGATGCCCTTCAAGAGGTGTGCGCACACATGCTCACCTGCGCACACATGCTCAGACATGCACACGCTAGTAGTATCCCTGGTCCCTTCACACACATGTTCTCTCTGCTGCTGCACCTACTCAAGCTCCCAGATGCCCTTCAAGAGGTATCGCACACATATACATGCGCGCGCACACTCATACGCACACGCACTTCAACACACAATCACTATGATCCCTGGTCCCTTCACACACATGTTCTCCCTTTGCTGCTGCTGCACCTACTCAAGCTGCGAGATGCCCTTCAAGAGGTATGCGCTCACATGCAATCACAGATACGCTCACATGCAGTCACAGATACGCTCACATGCAATCACAGATACGCTCACATGCAGTCACAGATACGCTCACATGCAATCACAGATACGCTCACATGCAGTCACAGATACGCTCACATGCAATCACAGATACGCTCACATGCAGTCACAGATACGCTCACATGCAATCACAGATACGCTCACATGCAGTCACAGATACGCTCACATGCAGTCACAGATACGCTCACATGCAGTCACAGATACGCTCACATGCAGTCACAGATACGCTCACATGCAGTCACAGATACGCTCACATGCAGTCACAGATACGCTCACATGCAGTCACAGATACGCTCACATGCAGTCACAGATACGCTCACATGCAGTCACAGATACGCTCACATGCAGTCACAGATACGCTCACATGCAGTCACAGATACGCTCACACACGCGCACTTCCACACGCATGCAGTTACATTCCTGGTCCCTTCCCACACTTGTTCTCTCACTGCTGCTGCACCGGCTCAAGCTGCCAGATGCCCTTCAAGAAGTGAGACCTTCATGCACACACCAACACACTCACACACACACACACACACTCACACACACACACACACTCACACACACTCACACACACTCACACACACTCACACACAATCACACAGACACACACACACTCACACACACTCACACACAAACACGCGCGCATCCACCAACACACACACACAAGTATCCCTGGTTCTTCCCACACTTGTTCTCTCGCTGCTGCTGCACCGGCTCAAGCTGCCAGATGCCCTTGAGCCATGCGCTTGTATGCGCGCAGCGCTTGTACACACTCAGACACAGACGATCACACACCAGTCCGCAGGCAGAGCAGCTTCTATTCATGCGTGTCCTGCATGTGTGTCCTGACAGGCACGCCAGGAGTCAGTGGTGAACGGCTGCCAGTTCTTCCGCCCAGGCGTCTTCGACCTTCTTCTTGCCAAGGTGGGCATCTCACCTTGCCAGCCAGATTACCATTTACACACCAAGACTATGCCCTCTTACCAGATTAGCCAAGGTGGGCATCTCCCCTATACTGGCTGCCAAGACTATACCCTCTTACCCACACAATTCGTAGAAAGTTCTTGCTTGTTTCGCCACGGCCGCCTTCAGAACCATGCCCCACCTCTTACCCTTATCCTCTTTTCACCTTGCAACCACTCCTCACCCCTCTCAACCCCACTCACCAGCAAGTGTCCCCCCTGAAGCGCTACATACTCCTCAAGTTCTTGCTGGCCTCAGCAGCCCACCTGTTTACTAATAACAGTTCCTACTGGCAACAGCAGCCTTCACCACCATCTCCCAAACCCTCCCTCCTTTCCTCCGCTCCCCACCCCTCTCAACCCCCCACCTTCCCCCACCAGCAAGTGTCTCCCCTGAAACGCTACGCACTGCTCAAGTTCCTGCTGGCAACAGCAGCCTTCAGCACCATGTCGCGGCGCCACATCGCGGTGAGGCGGGCAGACCTGAGCGCCGTGCTGCAATGGCTGCAGGAGGAGACTGCGAATGCGCCCGGGCACGATCTGTCCAATGAGGAGCTGCCATCTGGCACGCTGCGCCGCACTGCCACTGTGGATTCGACCATTGCCACGGGGCTGAGTCTCATCAGCCTGCCACATGAACCCAATGCATGAATCGTATCATCAGCATGCTGGTAACGTGGTAACCGCACGCTGCTCTGCTACTGTGTACTCGGCCATTGCCACGGGGCTGAGTCTCATCAGCCTGCCGCACGAACCCAATGCATGAAGTCTATGCTGGTGACGTGGCAACAGGGTGGGCCTGTGACGTGTGATGTGCATACACCAGTGCCACGTTGCTGACTCTCATCAGCCTGCCACACGAGGCATCCGCCTGAGTGAGCTGCTGGTTACGGAGTAATGTAACACCATGGGACCATGATGACTGGTAACCTGGTGTCCTGGTAACGGGCTGCTGGTTGCTAGTGAAGGGAGCTACCCCTGAACTGCACTGATGGGCAGGAGCGAGCTTGTGGTGCTGCTTGTCTGCACATTTGCAGGAAGCGGTGTTGTCTTGGGCACAGATTCTTCTGCAGCTGCACTTTCTCGGCCTTTCCAAAGTTTCTCTGAGCACTGCAGTGCATATCAACTTTGTAGGAGGAATAGTGCTGGTGGACTGTGGTACACCACACTTGTGTTTATGCTGGTATTTTTGTTCGGTGTAGCATGTAGCACGCCTAATTTGGCACCTCGAGATGGGTCGGAATGGCAATGGCGTATTCATTGTTCATATAGAAGTGCTGCTGAACGTACCATCCAGGCGTGCTGCCTGTAGAGTTGCTATGCATGTAGTGGCATATGGAGCAAATGTATTCCCACACATTTATCCATTCATCGATTTCAACTGCCATATGATGTTCACTTTCAAAAGCTGACAATCTCCCCTCGTTCTTAGGACGCGGTGAAAGTGCTCGATCGGGGATAGATCGATTCGGTCACCGCACTGAACCTCGCATATTGGACACGAAAGGTACACAACCTTTTAACCGCGCTAAAAAACGATCCTTTGGCGATAGATCCTCCACTTTCACCGCGTCCTTACTGCAGCTAGCGAGTGTTCATGCTAATGATCTTGAATAGAAAAACGCCTGATTGTACACAACACTTTTGCATTCAGCGGAATGTAGTAACGCATTGCTCTGAGTACGCCCAGCGAACTCTTTCGCAGCCACAACCAGCCCTCACCCCCACCTCACCCCACCCTCACGTCGACTCTTGTTCGGTTCGGCGAAAAGTGACGTGTGCTTGTTACGCCCAAAGAACGAAATAATCGGAAATGGAGGCCTTCGCAATACCGCCATCATCCAGGCTTGCTCGGCCATTGCAGGCCAACGAACCACCCCATAGCTAGTAAAACTGTATTTTCGGCCGCCTTTTCCCGCACGTTACGCCACCGTAGTTGCCAACTTGCCACATTGTTCTCCGTTTGTAACTTAGGAATCGCGAAGCCGTCATGCGAGTGGTTTCGCGCGACGCGCTTTTGCGACCGGCCACCAACCCCGCTCTCCCCCCACTCTCCCAAAAGCCTGTACCGAATCCATCCCTGCAAGGCCCGTTATTCGTTCTCGCGTGCGTCGTTCTCGTCGTACTCTCCCTGCAGCTCCTCTCGCCCCCTCGGGAGTATCCCAACGGTCATAATTATGGCGGCGCGGCTGGCAGCGGCGGCCCGTTCGGCAGCAGCGGCGCGGTGCGCAACTTTCCGTCCCCCCCAGACGATAAGGACTTCAGAGCGTTTATAGCGGAGCAGCAGATGCTGGCACATGCTAATAACGTGCACAAGGTGACTGCCACGTGGCACTTTCAGCCTCTCCGTTCTTGTTGAAAGTGCACCTCTCCCTCCCACCTCTCCCTACTGTTTCATACCCTTTCCTACCCCTTTCTACCCATCCCCACCTCTGTGAAAGGCCACCTTTTGCAAGGGAAATGCTGGAAGGGGGCTTCACGGAGAGAACCTCCGCCGTCGCCTCCATCCATGCTCGACAACACCTGTGATGAACTTAAGGCGTCGCCTCGCACATCACAGCTCAAGGTCATGCAGCCCCAGCTGGGCATGCTGCAGAGCCAGCTGGCTGTCCCATCCATTCCGTGCCCACTGCAGGCTCAAGCTGATCGTTCCAATGCCCCGATATTCCCGTTTCTCGCCCTCAGATGAACCTTCGCCATCGCCTCTCACATCACAACTCAAGGTCATGCAGCTTAGTTTTGAGTTGACTCAAAAGTAGGCACATCACAACTCAAGGTGATGCAGCCGCCCAATCTTGACATGCTGCAGAGCCAGCTGTCCATCCATCCTCGTTCCCCACTTCCAGGCTCAAACGGATCGTTCCAATGTTCCACTTCACGCCGTCGCCTCTCACAGCTAGGCGTCATGCAGCCGCCCAAGCCGGACATGCTGCACAGCCAGCTGTCCCACCCTCGTGCCCTCCGGTTGCTCTAACCTTTCACCCCACCATACCATTCCCTACCATACTGTACCACTCCAATCTGAACCTGAAGCGTCGCCTCTCACAGCTAGGCGTCATGCAGCCGCCCAAGCTGGACATGCTGCAGAGCCAGCTTTCCGTTCTTGCGCCCACCTGTGCTCTAAACTTCCACCATACCATTCCAAACCATATTATACCACTCCCGACTCTCGCCCTCGGATGAACCTCCGCCGCCGCCTCTCACAGCTAAGAGTCATGCAGCTGGACATTCTACAGCCAGCTGGACATTCTACAGCCAGCTGGACATTCTACAGCCAGCTGGACATTCTACAGCCAGCTGGACATTCTACAGCCAGCTGGACATTCCACAGCCAGCTGGACATTCCACAGCCAGCTGGACATTCTCATGCCCACCTGTCCTCTGCTCTACGCTCAAACCCACCATTCCTGTCCCACTCCTCCCATTCCTGTCCCACTCCTCCCATTCCTGTCCCACTCCTCCCATTCCTGTCCCACTCCTCCCATTCCTGTCCCACTCCTCCCATTCCTGTCCCACTCCTCCCATTCCTGTCCCACTCCTCCCATTCCTGTCCCACTCCTCCCATTCCTGTCCCACTCCTCCCATTCTGTCCCACTCCTCCCATTCCTGTCCCACTCCTCCCATTCCTGTCCCACTCCTCCCATTCCTGTCCCACTCCTCCCATTCCTGTCCCACTCCTCCCATTCCTGTCCCACTCCTCCCATTCCTGTCCCACTCCTCCCATTCCTGTCCCACTCCTCCCATTCCTGTCCCACTCCTCCCATTCCTGTCCCACTCCTCCCATTCCTGTCCCACTCCTCCCATTCCTGTCCCACTCCTCCCATTTCTGTCCCACTCCTCCCATTCCTGTCCCACTCCTCCCATTCCTGTCCCACTCCTCCCATTCCTGTCCCACTCCTCCCATTCCTGTCCCACTCCTCCCATTCCTGTCCCACTCCTCCCATTCCTGTCCCACTCCTCCCATTCCTGTCCCACTCCTCCCATTTCTCGCCCTCAGATGAACCTTCGCCGTCGCCTCGCACAGCTCAAGGGGATGCAGCCGCAGCTGGACATGCTGCAGAGCCAACTGTCCATCCTCGTGCCCACCTTCCCCTGCCCCAAGGAGGAGCGCGTGGGCGTGTGGGCGGACGGCCGCAAGGTGAGTTGGAAAGCGCTGGGAGCGTGGGGAGTGGAGTGGAGGGGTAGCAGCAGCGTGTCAGTGCAATGGGTCTCTTGCTGCAGTGCACAGCAAGCCAGCTCTCCGTGGTAATGCCAACTTTCCCCTGCCCCAAGGAGGAGCGTGTGGGCGTGTGGGCGGACGGCCGCAAGGTGAGGGGGAAGCATCGAGTTGGGGTCGGGGACATGGAGGGGAAAGGGAAGGGGGCGTTGCGTGTTCTTTCAGTTCCCCAAGCTTTCCATCATTTCTAGGATTCTCAAAAGCGGGCATTGAGGGGAAGGAGGGGGGAGCGTTGTTGTACTGTCAAGTTCACCCACAGGGGCCTTTAGATTCTCCCTCCTCCGCAGTTCCAGACTCGTTTTCCATTTCATTCCCGTAGTTCCAGTTGCTTCTTTCTCTGCAAACCTCGGTCGGCTCATGTGCTCCCATCCCCATCCCATCCATATCCTCTTCCCTCCCCCACCTTTTTTCCCCTTCCCTGTCTTCTCTTCCCTTGTCCACCTTATCTTCCCATCCCCATTCCTTTTTCCCCCATGCCTCAGTGGCTATGCAACATGAAGACCTTTCTGCCAGATAACCCTGTCGTGTACAGGTGGGTAAGGGGTCTGTATGTGCAAGGAGGAGTGTTTTGAGACGTCTCCTTCTTTCTCGTGTACAGGTGGGTAAGGGGTCTGTATGTGCAAGGAGGAGTGTTTTGAGACGTCTCCTTCTTTCTCGTGTACAGGTGGGTAAGGGGTCTGTATGTGCAAGGAGGAGTGTTTTGAGACGTCTCCTTCTTTCTCGTGTACAGGTGGGTAAGGGGTCTGTATGTGCAAGGAGGAGTGTTTTGAGACGTCTCCTTCTTTCTCGTGTACAGGTGGGTAAGGGGTCTGTATGTGCAAGGAGGAGTGTTTTGAGACGTCTCCTTCTTTCTCGTGTACAGGTGGGTAAGGGGTCTGTATGTGCAAGGAGGAGTGTTTTGAGACGTCTCCTTCTTTCTCGTGTACAGGTGGGTAAGGGGTCTGTATGTGCAAGGAAGGAGGAGTGTTTTGAGACGTCTCCTTCTTTCTCGTGTACAGGTGGGTAAGGGGTCTGTATGTGCTTGCCCAAGAGACGTCTCGAACGTATTTTTCCCAGATAATACAGTACCGTAGTAAAATATATGCTTCTTAGACGCCCTTGAGGCTAAGCACGTGTTTTTTGTCACCTTTGAGTTCTCCTGCCTCTCACACCCCCTTCACCCTCCATCCATTTCTCATGCTGCCTCGTTTTTTTCCCCCTCGCCCTGTTCCCCTTCTCCACTACCCCCTATCCCTTCCCTCATATCCCCATTCCCCCTCTTTCCTCCAATCTAAGCCCCCCCCCCCCCCCACTCTTTCCTCCCAGCATAGGGTCAGGCGGGGAGTACTCCTTTGAAAAGGACATGTTCTTCAAGTTCCCCCTCACGCGTCCGCTCACCTTCGACCCATTCCTCGACCCCTCTCTCGCCTCCTCCATGCAAGCCCTCTCCTTCCTCCGCCTCCTCCCCATCGGCCTCGCCGGGGCCGGGGTGATCGAGAGAGCGAGAGTGGACCGACCGGGAGTGCAGTTCATGACTGTGGGGGAGGTCATGGCTGCGAATAATCACTCCTATGTGGATGTTCTGAAGGTGGATTGCGATGGGTGTGAGGAGGGGTTGGTTTATGATATTAAGCCAGGAAGGAGGGAGGGTGGGGGGGAAGGGGTGGGGGATGGGAGTGGAGGAGGAGGGAGAGGAGAAGGGGGAGGAGGAGGGGAAGGGAGGGAGGAGGAGGTGTTGGAGGAGTTTAGCCGAGTGAAGCCGTTTGGGGACCCGGCGATTGGTCAGATACTCATTGACTTGCACCAGTGAGTGGGAGTGGGTTGGTGGGTGGGTGGGTGGGTGGATAGGTGGTGGGTGGGCGAGAGAGAGTGGTGATATACGTATCAGAAGCTGCTATTGGTCAGATACTCACTTACTTGCAACAATGAGTGGGAGTGGGTGGTAGTTGCTAAGAATCCAAAAAAAGCCTGCACAATAAGCGAACGGGTGGGTGGAGGAAAGATACCAATTTGGCATCACGCTGCCCATTGCTCTACCATCTTGAGAGCGTGGGTTACCATCTTGAGAGCGTGGGTTACCATCTTGAGAGCGTGGGTTACCATCTTGAGAGCGTGGGTTACCATCTTGAGAGCGTGGGTTACCATCTTGAGAGCGTGGGTTACCATCTTGAGAGCGTGGGTTACCATCTTGAGAGCGTGGGTTACCATCTTGAGAGCGTGGGTTACCATCTTGAGAGCGTGGGGTTACCATCTTGAGAGCGTGGGTTACCATCTTGAGAGCGTGGGTTACCATCTTGAGAGCGTGGGTTACCATCTTGAGAGCGTGGGTTTACCATCTTGAGAGCGTGGGTTACCATCTTGAGAGCGTGGGTTACCATCTTGAGAGCGTGGGTTTACCATCTTGAGAGCGTGGGTTACCATCTTGAGAGCGTGGGTTACCATCTTGAGAGCGTGGTTACCATCTTGAGAGCGTGGGTTACCATCTTGAGAGCGTGGGTTACCATCTTGAGAGCGTGGGTTACCATCTTGAGAGCGTGGGTTACCATCTTGAGAGCGTGGGTTACCATCTTGAGAGCGTGGGTTACCATCTTGAGAGCGTGGGTTACCATCTTGAGAGCGTGGGTTACCATCTTGAGAGCGTGGGTTACCATCTTGAGAGCGTGGGTTACCATCTTGAGAGCGTGGGTTACCATCTTGAGAGCGTGGGTTACCATCTTGAGAGCGTGGGTTACCATCTTGAGAGCGTGGGTTACCATCTTGAGAGCGTGGGTTACCATCTTGAGAGCGTGGGTTACCATCTTGAGAGCGTGGGTTACCATCTTGAGAGCGTGGGTTACCATCTTGAGAGCGTGGGTTACCATCTTGAGAGCGTGGGTTACCATCTTGAGAGCGTGGGTTACCATCTTGAGAGCGTGGGTTACCATCTTGAGAGCGTGGGTTACCATCTTGAGAGCGTGGGTTACCATCTTGAGAGCGTGGGTTACCATCTTGAGAGCGTGGGTTACCATCTTGAGAGCGTGGGTTACCATCTTGAGAGCGTGGGTTACCATCTTGAGAGCGTGGGTTACCATCTTGAGAGCGTGGGTTACCATCTTGAGAGCGTGGGTTACCATCTTGAGAGCGTGGGTTACCATCTTGAGAGCGTGGGTTACCATCTTGAGAGCGTGGGTTACCATCTTGAGAGCGTGGGTTACCATCTTGAGAGCGTGGGTTACCATCTTGAGAGCGTGGGTTACCATCTTGAGAGCGTGGGTTACCATCTTGAGAGCGTGGGTTACCATCTTGAGAGCGTGGGTTACCATCTTGAGAGCGTGGGTTACCATCTTGAGAGCGTGGGTTACCATCTTGAGAGCGTGGGTTACCATCTTGAGAGCGTGGGTTACCATCTTGAGAGCGTGGGTTACCATCTTGAGAGCGTGGGTTACCATCTTGAGAGCGTGGGTTACCATCTTGAGAGCGTGGGTTACCATCTTGAGAGCGTGGGTTACCATCTTGAGAGCGTGGGTTACCATCTTGAGAGCGTGGGTTACCATCTTGAGAGCGTGGGTTACCATCTTGAGAGCGTGGGTTACCATCTTGAGAGCGTGGGTTACCATCTTGAGAGCGTGGGTTACCATCTTGAGAGCGTGGGTTACCATCTTGAGAGCGTGGGTTACCATCTTGAGAGCGTGGGTTACCATCTTGAGAGCGTGGGTTACCATCTTGAGAGCGTGGGTTACCATCTTGAGAGCGTGGGTTACCATCTTGAGAGCGTGGGTTACCATCTTGAGAGCGTGGGTTACCATCTTGAGAGCGTGGGTTACCATCTTGAGAGCGTGGGTTACCATCTTGAGAGCGTGGGTTACCATCTTGAGAGCGTGGGTTACCTGCTCTTTCATGTGCGGCCCAATCCCCATGCCGCATGTGTGTGAAAGGAATTCCTTCACGCCCCTGATTCTGACCCCGCTCCCGCTCGTGTTATCTCCCAGCCTCTACAACCCCACAATTACCCTCCCCATGGTATACCACCTGGAGAGCGTGGGCTATCTGCTGTACCACGTGGAGCCCAACGCCCATGTGTGTGAAGAGTGACAACTCGTGTCCTTGCTTCTTCTAATATGACCCTTCTCACCCTTGCTATTTTGCAGTGTCAATAACCCCGGCATCACCCTTCCAATGGTGTACCACTTAGAGAGCGTGGGCTATCTGCTGTACCACGTGGAGCCCAACGCTCAGCACCCCGACTGCTGCATTGAGCTGGCATTCATTCACCAGTCGCTGCTGCAGCCCTGGGGCACGTCGCGCAGTGACTTTCAAAGATGGAAGAAAGCAAGGGGGAAATGACATACTTATTATTGGGCTCTTCAGGTGTGGCTGCTGCTGCTGTTGCTGCTGTTCCGCTGTTTGGCTGGCTGTGTTGAGCCGGCCTTCATTCAGCAGGCGCTGCTGCAGCCCTGGGGCACATCGCTCAAAGACTACCGTATCAGAGGTGGAGAGCAAGGGGCAAGTGAAGCATTATTAGAAGTGTTCATCGTAGCAAGTAGCCTCTCTCAACCAACGCTCAGCACCCCGACTGCTGTGTTGAGCTGGCATTCATTCATCTGGTGCTGCTGCAGCCCTGGGGCACTTCGTACAGTGACTTTCAACGATGTAGGAAAGCAAGGAAATGACATACTTATTACCAATATCGGGCTTTTCAAGTGTGGCTGCTGCTGCTGCTGCTGCTGCTGCTGCTGCTGCTATTCCTCTGTTTGGCTGGCTGTGTTGAGCTGGCCTTTATCCACCAGGCACTGCTGCAGCTCTGGGCGGGCATATCATTCAGAGACTGAATACACATTCACCATCAGTAATACGTGGGGCACTGGGGCAGTCCGTATGAGCTTTCTCAATCTTAGGGCCTAAATAGATCGAGCATGTGCTCCAGCCTTCACGTGCCGATACTTCTTTTAATCACAGATTGGTTTTGGGCTAGGCTGAACAATCAGAGTTGGTACAAAAAAGTATGCTGAAAATCATATAAATTAGCCATTTTATGCCATTTTACACTATAAAATTCATAGTTTTTCCTGTTTTTTTTTCAAAAAATTGCTGAAAAATCAGCCCTGGTTCTAAACGAAGTCTGAAATCTCGGCCTTTTTTACCTAAATCAGCCTTTTTTCGCTGACTTCTGAGGCCTCATCAGGCAACTTATGGCTCTTGTCTTGTGGGTGTTGGGGGACTTTTTTTTTTTAGGTGAATGTTATTACACTACGAGAAGTGCATACATTCTCAGTCGTAACTGACTTCAGGAGAGGCCCTACCCTGGATATAGAACTTTGCTCTACACCTGGGTCCACGTGGCGTTTGTTGGGCTGAGACGCCCTAGGATCTTTGTAGAGTTAAAGTCTGAGTAAAATGATGTAATAGCGGAAGCGTTTGAATAAAGTCCTTGAACCACCTTGCGCTAGTATATGAGGGTAAAGTAAGTTGATTAAAACAAAGGGATACAGGAATATATATGTATATGAGTACGGAGAATATGAAGAGACATTATAACTACTTTACTGTTGCGGTTCGATACAGTGCGACTCGGGCAACTGCTCAATGTCGAGTCAGTTGTATGTCCTTGCTGTCGCGCTGTATTTGTCAGGTCAAAGGTCGCTGACCTTTGACTTTCGCGTAACCTCCAGCGGTTACATCAACCTCCGAGGGTTGACTCGCTGGTGCTTCGATTGCGTTGCTTCGCTTGTGTCTTAGAGTTTCGACACGACAGAGGCGTTTAGGACTTATTTGTTCCCAACACTCCCCTTCGCTTCTGGAGTGTCGCTGATGGTGACGTGTCTTTGTCCAGTCAGCAGCATGCAGTACTCGAGCTTCTGTTTTCCGAGTTTCTTGGTCAAGTAGTCGGCTGCCATCTCGGACGTGGGACACTAGGATAGTTCGAGTTTCCCTTTCTTGATCTCGTCTTTCACGAAGAAATATCGCAGAGCGATATGCTTCGTTCTGTTCTCGAATCCGCTCTTGTTGGCAATGCGAATCGCAGATTGGTTGTCGCAGAACAAAGTGAAGTTGGGTAACTCGGCTAACCTCGCTTCTTCCAACAGCTCGCGAAGATAGAGTCCTTCCTTGGTGGCTGAGCAGAGGGCGATATATTCTGCTTCAGCTGAAGAGAGAGCGATTAGTTCCTGCTTGCTCGATTGCTAGGAGATAGGTCCGATAGGTTCGAGGCGGTAGATGTAGCCAGTGCGGGAGCGCCTATTGTCTGAGTCGCCGGCGTGATCGGCATCGACGTAGCCGATTAGTTTTGTCGGTGTAGTTGTAGTCTTGTGATATGTCAGACCGATCGTTGAGGTGCTTACGAAGTAGTGTAGTGAGCGGTCGAGCTCCGCCAGGTGTTCTGTTTTGGGTCTCTTGAGGTAGGTGGCGAGTTGACTTGCGGAGTAGGACAGATCTAGGCGGCAGGTGACGGCTGCAAAGAGAAGGCAGCCCAGCTTTCTCTGGTAGTCGCGTATTCCGGCGGTTTTGAGTAGAGCGGAACTTCCCTTGTCGTTCCCTGCCGTGTAGCGGTATGGCGTGGAGATAGTAGTAGGTGTGAGCGCGAAGCGTTTGGCGATAGTGCTGGCATACTTTTCGGCGCTGAGGTAGATCCCGTTCTCTTCTTCGCGGATGTTGAGTCCGAGGTACTGAGTGACGGTAGAGGAGACCGTGAGTGTGAGGTCCCTCTGCAGCTCCCCTTCGAACCAGGTGGTGATGTCGTCAGTGGAGCCAATGTAGAGTAGGTCGTCAACGTAGACGATCAGCAGGATATAGTCGGCGTTTTTGGTGAGTCGATACATCCCTTGGTCGTGAGGCAGTTGGCGGAATCCGGTGCGAGTGAGGCGAGTGTGTAGGTGCTGTTGCCACTGCCGCGGGGCTTGTTTGATTCCGTAGAGCGATTTCAGCAGCTGGCAAACCTGATTAGGTTCCCCGTGGGTACCGTGTGGGAGCTCAACGAAGATTTCGGCGTCGACGGGTGCGTAGAGGAATGCGTTGGCGACATCGATTTGCCGCAATTTCTTTTTCTTCATAGCGGCGATCGCGATGAGAATTCGGAGTGAGGTATGTCGGCTGACCGGGGCGAATGTCTTGGTGAAGTCCCGTCCGTGCTCCTGCTGAACCGAGGCTCTTTAGGAAGAGCGTTGTCGTGGACTGCGGTGACGAGGCCGAGAATCTGCAGTCCAGTCTGTGAGTAGCGGGGGAGTGCTGTGTCCTCGGGATAAGCTGCTTCATCTCCCGCTTCTGGGTCGGGTATGAAATTCGGCCCTATCCGTTCTGCTTCGTTGGTGTTGACTGTCGCAGGTGTTACGTAACCATTGTCGGCGAAGTGGTAGAAGACTTCGGCGTTGGCGCTTTCGCGAGGATTTTCTTCGTCCATGGGGACGTTGACGGAGCAGAACGGGAGAGGTCCGGCTTCTTCTGATGCGTTGTCGATGGTCTGCTCGTCCCAGTCTGCTTCGTCCGCTGCTGAGGCGAAGGCTCGGTCACCACGAAAACCACCTGTGGGGTCCTGATTTTCGTGCAAGTTGGCGAGGTACGTCTGAAGCGTGAGTCGTTCGTAGAAGATCACGTCACGTGCTGCTACTGCTTCGTTGGAGTGGACGTCGAAGATTTTCCACGCGTTGTAATTCTTTTTTATGCCGAGGTGTAGTCCCCACTGTGCACGTTGTGAAAATCTTCTCGCTCGTGCCTCTGGGGGTCGGTACTGTACCATGCACCCAAAAACTCGTAACATTTTTGTGCTGCCCTATTTCCCTGTCCACAGCAGATGCGGTGATGCGTTGTTCAGAAGTGAGGACGATGACATCAAGTTGTGCAGCATGACAGCATGGTCCATTGCTGCAGGCCACTGGTGGTTGGGTAGCCGCATGCCACGTAGCAGGTTGCGCATGCTGTTCTGCAGGGTCCTGTTCATTCTTTCTGCGACACCTTGCTGCTGATGGGCGTAGGGAAGGGAGAGAAGCTGCTTGATTCCTCTTTCCGCCAGGTACTGCTTGAATCGCTGAGAGGTGTATTCTCCTCCTCCGTCTGACTGGAAGCTTTTCAGCTGTGCTCCCGACTCTCTCTCTGCTACTGGTAGCCAGGCGGCGAACGCTGCGAGTGCCATGTCGCGGCTGGGTAGGTTTAGATGCCAGACATATCGAGTGGCGGCATCGATGAAGGTGATCGTGTAGTTGTAAGTAACTTGTTCTGGTTCTCGATTGAAGAGAATATCGCTGTACACCTTCTCGAGTGGTGCGTATGCGGGTGCGCTCGGGTTGTGGTGAAGAGTGAACGGTCGATGTGGTAAGTCGGCTTCGGGGCAGGTGAGGCAAGTTCCTCGTGCCTGTTGAAGTTCTCTGCCGTCGGGTAGTAGTAATGAATCCTTGTCTAGGACTCCTGCTCTTATTGTATTATTTAACACGGTGTTGCTTGGATTTCCCATGCGTGCGTGCCAGATGTCTTCGGAGGCGCGGTGTCCGGGTGAGCGTCGATACGCATCGGAGTTGGAGTAGAAGCTGGCGACGAAGTTTTCGCTTCTGTGGACTTCTCGTTGAGTTGGGTTCAGCTCCTGTGCGAGTGTTGGTGGTGCTTCGTCGACGAGGACTGGTGTCGTTGGTCCTGTTGCTGCCGATGATGTTTCCGCTGCTGCCGATATTGTCTCTGATGCTGCCGATGTTGTCTCTGCTGCTGTCGAATGTTGAATTGTTGCTAATGCGCGTGTTCGTTCTGCTTCAGGGATGGTATGCAAATACCAGAAGCCTTCCGGGCTGAAGTCGGGGTCGAGATCCGGGGGATGTGTCCAGTCGGCGAAGTTCACGATGGCGTCGCTGTCTGCGGTGCCCAGGTCTGGGACGAAGTCAAGGACGAAGACGTTGTTCTTCAGGACCGCCTTTCCGATGTAGAGGCCGCCCTTCCCGTG